TGTCGATCTCCGGCCACCTTAGGAAGTGGCCTGCGGGCGACGACTTCGGGGGATTCGTCGTCTGAACAGATACAGGCCCAAGAGGGAGCGCACAGTGTTCCGTGTGCATTCCTAGAGGACTGCGACCGAAAGGTAACGGTCGCAACAGGTGACGAGACCCGTCTTAGGCGAGACGGGCCAATGCCTGTCGGGGGTGGCGAAAGAATGCAAATGCGATTCTCGCTCCCCGGCCATTGGCAAGGAGAGGATCACCGAGGTGGTTTTTAGTCGGTAAGAGTCCGACAGACCCCTTCGCCATTCCCCACTGGGCGAAGGACATCCATGAGGATCTTCCACCCCGTTAAAAAAAAAAAAAAAAGCAGAAAAAGTTAATAAAATAAGAAGCGAGTTAAACTGAAGATACCTAAATTGTAAAATGTCAATGCATTTCCATTTTATTTACACAAACCGCATCTGCATAGAATTATTACGGCAATTCATACTAAACGTTCATGGTACAATTATGTAAATGACATGTATGCAATATGGTCTGTGAATTGCTGGCTTATCTGTGCCATCGACACGCGACGATATCGACTAATTGTGTACCGCTGTCACACTAGATAATTTTGTAATAGCTTGTTATTAAATATTATTATGTACTTAATATGTACTTCCTTTAAATCCAATCACGAGGCCTTACCAAAATTTTCATTTATACCGAAATAAGGATTGTTTTTTTCAATCCTATACTTAATAATTAATTATTTTCAATTTTTTATTTAATGTAAGTAGCTATATAATCTATTAGTCTCCACTTCTGTTTTAAATATTTACTTGAATATACATGTTTACAGAGAGCGACTGCATCTGACGTACCTACCTAGGCATGTAATTAATAAACATGATGACATTTTGTCTATTTCGGGCCACAATTCGCCACGAAGATTTATGATAAACATAGTTCATCTGACTTTTAATTTTTTACTTTCGGAAAGTGAATTTATTGAATGTTCAACTGCACGGTACTTTATGTCATGACAAAAGTTCAATTGTGATCACATATTTCAAATTGCATTATCAGCTTCCAGATTATTTGTTCCCACTACATATTTTCGTAATGCAAGCTTTGTTTGAGCTCAGAGCAGAAATGCGGATGACCACAACAAGGCCTTGACAGTTCAAGAAGCCTCCAGGCTAGCTCCGAGGGTCCTTGCTCCTGATTTACGGGCTCCGAAAACCGCAGGGATTCAATGTGCCTTTGTTGCGTACACTTTTATTGAATAATAAAATATTTCCACAAAATGGAACAACTTTATAGGTCATAATTCCTTTTTAACGATTGTTGTTATGAGTAGGTCCTACATATATCATATATAGAATCTTACTATTTAACGATCACTTTTTAAAAGACACAATAAATAAGATTTTGGCTGAAGAAAACAAAAGATTTAAGCACACCTCGTTGAAATTTATGAAATTATGATATGATCATAAATCGGATTTCGAGAAAGAAGACTGTTCTTCAACGGACTATTTTCGCATAGGTCTTTAAGATATTCCCAGTACTATAGATTGTTGGTATACTAATTTTGTAATCGAAAAACATATGACTGTTTATACAACTAAGCTTTTATGCAAAAAAGCATATATTCTGCTTGATCTGAATGGTTCTAGACTATTCGTAACAATTGCGATATTATTTACACGCACCCACACTACTATTCTCTTCGTCAAGGAACTCTGCGATTCTTTTGAAAAGAAAAAGAATGCTACGAGTGCCATTTAACTTCAAAGTATCTTCATAGCCTAGAAATCTATCACGCATGGTTTTATCATCAATACCAAGTTTTTTTTTTAAATAGACAAAAACCATTAAAGTAGAATGTTTTTTCTATCATTGTTTCATTATTTTATAGTTTTTATGCTACCTAAAACATTTCGCAGTCCCCGACGAACACTATGGTAATCGCTATTATAGAATCGGGTTTATTAAATATTCGTTATCTACACACCCTATTACAATCACTGAATTTTTTTTATGATCGGGTGATGAATACTTTTGGATTTATCGCTTCAATAATGATCTTTATGTTTTTGTTCAACGTATAACATAAATGAAAAATTTACACGATCAATAACGCAAAAACCTATTACCAAATCTCAAAAGTCAACATTTTAAAGTAAGCGGCTATTACCATATTGTTCGACGGAAAAATGACATAATCTTATTAGTGGAAAGAATTGGTTAAACGACACCCAAGGCCGATAAATTCAGTGGTCGAAATTGATGGAGGTGGGAATTTCTCATTTGAAACCAACTATTTTACAGTATAAGTATGACTTCGACAATGATTCATTCGAGTTGGATACATAACTTCAACTAAACAAACCCAAACGAGGACGGAAACTCGTCCCTGGCCAGGTTGATGTACAACCCAAAAATGTTTACAGCCACCCTTTACCTATCACCAAGGCTCTCTTACAACCCTTTTTTGCATTTAAAAGTAGTATATGTCCTTCCTCAGGCTCTAGGGTATCTGTGTAGTAATTTAATGTAAATCGGTTCAGTACTTTTAGCGTGAAAGCTACACAGACAGACAGAGTTACTTTCGCATTTATAATATTAGTAAGGATTGTATGTCTTGACCAATTGAAAACTCGCTAGATTATAAGCTGACAATATTTAGGTTCAATTTACAGTGCTACAAATAACCCTTTTTCTTTTTTTTTTCCTTGCGGAAATCCCCTCGGATACCACCTATCGGTGGCATGTCGGACACGAACCGACTAAAACCGCACGCCGTCTCGGGTACTAATAGCCGGGGAACCAGGTATACCCTAGAAAGGAAGTCCCTGGTGCCCCGACATACCTCGGGCCATCTACAGACGAGTAGATGACCCCCCCCGTGTGGGAACCCCATGTTCCCTCCAGCGAGCGCGCTTCGCAACGCGCTCGCCGCCACCCCGGCCTGCTTCTGCTAGGGTGACAAATGGCCTCACCTGTCACCCCCACGCCTGCGCTTATGGAGGACGGAGATCGTTCTGCGACCTTCGGCGCCTGAGTCGCCTGCGGTACCTGGCCCGGAAAGGTCCTGGCGGGCCGGGAGAGTTCTAAACCTCTCCTGGTCCCGCTCCTCCGTCTCCTTCGCGAGCATAACTTGCTCGCAGAAGGAGACGGCAGAGTTCCACGCACTCTCGCTCCGCACGATAGCCGCAATCAGGCTATCGAGCGAGAGAACTCCCACTCCGATGGCCGCCACGAGGTCTCGCCTTTGCTCAACCCACGCCGAACACTCTGCCAGCGTGTGGAGAGCCGTGTCCACGGTCTGGCCATCGCAGTGGTGGCACTCAGGCGTTGGCTCCTTGCGGATCAGACACCCCGAAACATCCTTTCCCAGTGATCACCTGCGTCAGTCGGTATGAGAGGGTCCCGTGACGCCTCTCGAGCCAATCCTCCATAACGGGTCTTACCGCCGCGATGACGGCGTGCCCGGCTACAAATAAGCCTGTAAAATTAATACAATATGCATCAAAAGATAAATAGATAAATAATGTCAAATTTAAAGTAATAGACACATAAAAACTTTATTTATACATAGGTACCGAAATGGTTAATTTTGCTGCTTGCTGCTTACCTATAACACCTAAAAATGATCATCGAATAAACATGTAATTAATGTTTACCGTAATATTAAAGTCAGTTATATCATCGAATACGATTGCAATGTAATTTTATGAATAGAAAGTATATTCATATTTACCATGGAACAATATCATAATGAACGATTACTACAGCAACACCGATTTGTGATTACAGTCGAACACTATCGTAAAGTTAGTTTGCGTTATTTTTTTCCATAGCTTATTTCAGTAATGGACATTTTCACAATTTTCTTACTGATAAAGAAAATTTATGATAAAAATTTAGTAAAAATCTAATGCAAAAAAATATTCCCTATTTTTGATAAAAGAATCTTCTTTTTAGTCTTGATAGTATTCAAGATATTCAGTTTTTATTTGCTCCTGTAAAATTGACATTTTCCTATTACGATTTTGTTCGTCGGGGACTGCGATTTGTATTTGTTAAAAATACGAAACTCTAGTAATCTCTATTTTCACGTGAACGTGTACTTAATGGCTTACTGATAGTTGGATTCTGATAAATAAGACTATATACACGAAATGATATGTTACGATACATTTTTTCTTTTTCAAAGTATATTTCATTTTTGTATTCGCTGATAGCACTGTACAAAGCAGTTGGACCAATATTAAATTACTGTAAAAGTTAAGTCATGCGGTATCCATCGAGTTCAAAAGCTTCCGAACCTTCAGATGCATATGTAAAATGTTTTGCACTTGGCTGATTCCAATGTCTAACAAAGCAAAGAAAATGTTCACGAGTTAAATTCATTTTGCGACACACAATTTTCGAAAAGACGACACAATGAAAAAAAAAATGACAGTCTCGCAAGTTTAAGTGCAACATGTGCCCAAAGACTTCCATTTTCGAATTCAATAATTGTTTTTTCATTCATTTATTGTAGTGGCCAGATCCAGAGGCTTTCAGTATACCCCACGTATTTTAATTCGAAAACTCAAGCACTTAATGTAAGTAGTCTGATATTTAGAAGTATTTTTAGCATGTTTAGTAACTACCGGTGCCCTTGTAAACAACATCAAAGACGTGTCTCCCATCCCAAAACCCAGATAATTCTAACTAGTTGTAGAATAGGACACAATTATTATAAATAAATATAAATTTAAAGAGATTACATCCATTTCAACTTCTAATTGGAACTGTAATATAAATTATTTTTGATAGATCAATTAAAAACTAACAATTAAACAGTGACATCAGCAGCATTAAATTAGTGGCGTGACGATAAAAACATAAAGGTAAAACACATTCGTGCTTCAGATAACATCGTTCGGTAAAACGCGAACACGGAGATAATGACTCGATGAATAGTAATGAGCTCTGTAAGTGTGAATCACCAAATATATTTAAATTGTTATCAATTAAAAGCAATATAATAGGGATTTGAGTCCCGAGGCTTGGCCATATGGCGCGAGCACGGACTACTGTATGTCCATAAAGTAAGCGATTTAATTGTCTTGTCACCTGTATTGTAATATTAATACACACATAAATGATACTCGAATATGGAGTGAGTTAGGTACGAGTTCGTTTGATTTGAAAGTATGTTTTTAAGGTAAAAATAAATGATTGTGACTTGAGTGAACAGATGAAGACACAATATTTAATTGAAGCGGTTCTGAAAATTCGTCTTTCTGTGTGTATTATATTACGCAAGATACATTTTTATAAAAAAATAAAAATGAGATACCCCGAAAATTAAAAAACTTATCTATATATTTTTTAAATATTTAAATTATACACTTACTTTCCGATACTAGCGTCGCCCGCTCAATTTGTGGCCTTTTAGTCCACGTAAATTTGTCGAGCTCAATTGAAGTTAATAGGAATATACAGAGGGTGAGGTCCACCAGCTGACGCGAGGTGTGAGGGAATGCAGCCCTCCCTTGACACTCGACGACGGATGCACTATTGATGGTCAAATAAAAAATACATGTTAATGTCACGGACGTGGGAGGGCCACTTATAATAACCATTTTAGTAGACAGTGTGTGTTGTACTCGTATGTGTGTAGTTAAAATGAAATAGACTAATTTTGGAGTAGCGTTTTCGATAAGCCGGTGTTCTAATTATGAATAGTAGGAGAATAAATAATGAAAAAGAGAGAATTTATCTAGTTTTTCTGAGTGTTTATAATGAGCAAGTAGTGCTAGTCTTAATGTTATTTAGAATAAAGTAACTGGAACCAATGGACCGCTCCAAATCGAACAGTAATCGGATGAAACTCTTTATACAGGAAGAGACCATTGAAAAACTAGTAAATAAAGTATATGAAATCAGTTGTGACTCGTTTCATGTGTGACGCTTATCATCATGTTACCCGCCAATTTAAACATTTACCTATATTCAAATACATATGTTAGGAGTGGATTCTTAATGCAGTAGTTTAGCTAGTAGTATTAGCAGAACAAGGTGCATTAGACATTGATGTTTAAAGAAAGCGAAGATTATTGAGAAGTGGACACAAACAATGGGACAGATATACATACATACTTAAATACATATACATATATAAATACTTACTTGAAATATATACATATACTTATATATTAATAATATATAAAACTTCAAGGTTGTTATAAATCTGCTAGGGTGTCCAGAATGCGAGCTCGAACTTTTATTTAGAATGAGAGGTGGCTGGGTGCTATCCTGATTTCTAGAGGGAGAGCGTTCCAGAGTAAAAAAGATAACAATGAAATTGATTTTATCATAAGTTATAGTATAATAAATAATTTATATAGGAATACATCATAAATTATATAATTTAAAATCATATAATAGGTTTTTCAAAATAAATTAGGGTGAAATAATCCTTAAAAATAAATAATTACTCAAATACTATGATAGAAATAACTTTATATTTTATCTTATTTGTGAGTTCACATCCGGACTAAGTTGATATTTAAAGTACTAAAACAAATGTATCGAACATTAGACTGCGGTGAGGATGAACCTCATGAATGTTGAACAAACAGAATCAGATAGCGAACGGTTTAGCGACCCTTCCGAATGTTGATAGGTGACATCTACAATAGAGTAACGAGTAAGTAATGGTATTAAATGTTTGTTCTTTTAAGACTTTATTGACATTTGATTAGTTTATCAGTATTTAGAAGTAACGTACTTCTTTTTTATTGTATTAGTAATTTGGTAATTTTGTATTTCTATGAAGCATCATCGTCTTTGCCTTAGTATATATACCATTCCTGAGAGTCATACGACGTCAGTACGACAAAAAACAGCAAACCACAGCGTACATCACAACATAGCCTATCACCCTCTATTCATTACCCTATCCGATTTAAAAAATAATAATTAAAATCTAACTGACAGTTCAAGAGATTATTTAAACAAATAAACAATCTCACAAAATAAACTCTGTTGCTTTATTATATTAGAATAGATTGATTCATTGGATTGTGAACAAAAAACTTCAACCATTAATTTACCTACCTTGGTTTTGCAGGAAAAATATTTTGCCGGCGTCCCTGGTCTGCACGTGGCAGAGACAGCTGTGCAGATACAATCTCGTTTGGGACATCGGAATATGCTGATAAATTCATAAGCATTGCATGTCCGGACTAGACATTTCAACGAACATAAACAAACATGATTATAAAATAAAACTAAATTTACGGACAAAATCACAAAATACTTTCTGTAGTGAATCAAAAAGATTCAATGAAAATATTTTTTACAGTGTGCATTGGGTATCGTAATAATGAAAAACAAATTAAGCTGGCTGTAATGTAATAACAAAAAATACCTTAATGTAAATTAAAGTACCTAATAATTACACAAAATAGACTCATTAATTATTTTTCTGCTTTAAAAAAAAACAACTTTTACATCGGCGTTTTACTATAATATTCTAAATTTGAATTCTGTTCATTTAGGCGCCAAAATGTATACAAATAAATATTGTTATTGAGAATTCGTCCGTGTGAAAAGAACCGTCTGTTTAATTCACATTTTTTATAAAATCACTATAATTGAATTGGTGTGCTTCGAAATTGCATTTACGTGTATGTTACTGTTAATAAAATGTATAAAAATACGTATTTAAACGATAAGGGACGCAAGACGTACATCTAAGGTTTAGTAAAACAGGTATGAAAAATAATTTAAGATTATACTTTTGAATATACTAACGTAACTAATTTAACCGTTAATCCTTAATTAAAAATAAAAAATGATTATTGGTTGTTGCTTTATTCGTCTTACCGAGCGACGCATAAGCCTTGATTTAGTTTAAGTAGATCTAACATAATATGGTTAGCTTACGCACTGAAGAGTTAATATAGGGTGATTAGATTACTCGACTTCTATAGTTATTTATTATTATTCGTTATTCTTATTGTATTTATAGATTAGCTAAGTTTAACTATTAAAACTATCGGAGCTATAGGTAAAAATTAGGTAAGTAGGTAACGTACGTGATTGTAATTTAATTACATTAGTGCATCAACGAAATTCCACAAAAAGTAGATCATGTTCCGTCTTAATTCAATTACCAGACGTTATCAATTGACGCAGCACCAGGCCGAACTTTGTGAAGGCCTATAGAAGTTGAGATGTTCAGCAAGAAACATGCTTGGACTGTGGCTTTATATCTTTGTAAAGTGCGTAACCTACCTTACAAGATTTCTACACCACCCAAATGTTGACTGGAAGAGAATGAACATTAAGTCACAAAAATGCATAAGTTAAATAAATAAATATAATATTATAAATAATAACCATCGCTTATAATGCTTTAAAATCAATGAAATGGACCTACTTCAATCGTTAATTGTACAGGACTTAGATCCTATCTTGAAAAAGTCACAAGAGCTTAGAACAGTTTATTGAACTAGGATGTGACAGAAATGTCTAGATTTAGTCAGAAGAAGCGTGTGAATGCAGCTGCTGGGACACCTGCCTGACTTCTATTGCTTCGCACATAGAATCTCCATCGCATTACTACACTAATATTTAAATACTAAAAATACGAACGACTTATTTTCTTGTGTTTATTGTAGCACATGGGTATGTAGTGAATGCAATAAATTCTTATATGTCATCTAAAATATATCAATATGTAATACTACTACCTACTTATGAAGTTAAACGCCCTATATTATTAGAAAATACTTTACTATGTTAAGTGTTCGCCCTTAAAATACTAATTAGTCAAAAAAGAAATGTCTAAAATAATTAACTAACTTATTTCTTATTCGCTAGTATCTAATAAAATAACAAAGAAAACAAAATACTTTACCTATGAAGTTAGAGACTTTTAAATCCAAAATTTTTAGATTACATTATCTTTGAATTGTAGATCAATTCGAAATTCAAATAAATTTTATTTGAAAGCCATCTTATTTTAATTGTGCACGACTGCACGGATGGCGTAGTGGTTTAAGCGATCGCCACGCCGCTCACTACTACGCTGAGTGCAGTGGGTCCGATCCCCACATGGGACGACACTTTGTGTGATTCACAAATTGTTGTTCTGAATCTGGGTGTTCTTTGTGTCCGTTTCATGTATGTTTGTAAAGTCCCCCGCCACACAGGATTTAATATTAGTGCGGGAGTTTTCTTTAAAAAAATAATAATTAAAAGTCAGTCATTTGTTTTAGATGGTATTTTGTTTTTGTGAAACTCTTACAATTTTCGAAACCAAATATTAACGACGTATACGGGCCTAACACAGCTTGAATAAACAAGGTCCATTATTGGTTCAATCGCTTTAGATCTGGAAGTTTTCAGTTGAATAACGATCCTAGCGGTCAGCCGGTACCTGTAGTCGACAACGACGAATTGAAGGCGATAGTAGAAGCGGATCCAACGCAATCTACGGCTAAGCTTGCTGCCATTTTGGACTTGTGTCAAAAATAAGATAAAAAAAGCTAGATAAGTGCGTGCCACACGAACTAAGCGACCATCAGCAAAACTTACGCGTCGAAGCGTGCATAGCACTACTGAATCGGCATAGAAACATGGGAATTCTGAATTGAATTGTTGCGATGAAAAGTGGAAACTGTACGACAACCGGACCGCATCTGTACAGTACCTAATCAGTGCGCTAAAAAAAAGATAAGCCATATGAAGATGATGGTGACTGTCTGGTGGACCAGTGTCGGACTTGTTGACCACAGCATCTTACCGAATGCCACAACAGTGATAGCAGATGTCTATTGCCAAGAATTGCAAACACCAACTACGACTGATCAATCGCTCTTCCACATTGCTTCTCCACGACAACGCGCGAGCTTACACTTCACGACAGACCATCACAAAGCTACAAGAGTTACAGCTAGAAGCTCTTCGTTACCCACCGTACTCACCGGACCTTGCCCGGACAGATTTTTACTTTTTTCAAAATTTAGACAATTTTTAAGTGGGAAAGAAATTAACACCCGAGCGCAATACAAAACGCTTTCCCTGACTTTAGCACTTCCCATCCAGCAGACTTCTACAGTAAAGTAATATAGAATCTGCCATCAAAATGGCGAAATTGTAAAGTAAGGCACTACGGCAAGTTTAATGCTCACTTGACGAAAATATGTTACGTGATACTTTTTTATTTATTTTCTAAAAAGATATTGGAAAAAAAGTTGAATATTAAAGTTTCTTTGATTCCACCATAGTGGATCTATAGCTCGTCCATTCATAGCTCCTCCATAATATAAGGTATCATTGGTCCACACTAATGATAGCAACTATGTACTCAATTAGAAATTATTTCTCTATTAAAATAGGCAACAAAATCGTAAACATTTTCAACAATCTACTAAAATAAAGATAAATATTCTATTAATATAGGATATGATCATTGCATTTACAAAGTTTTACAATACTTACATTGATTTTTTCGTTGCACGTTTTTATATCGCCGCCGTATATAGACACGTTTGTGCACGCTGCTCCGCAAACCTTGGCACGCTGATACTCAGGTTTGGAGGACAGTCGTTAGGCTCGACACTGTGGCCTAACAATCGACTGGACACGTTATAAAATGCTTAATTTTTGAAATACTTAGGGGGTCCAAAGAAAGCGCTGGTCCACCGATCACAACCTTCCCCTATTTGCCTGCGTCTCTCAAAAGAAATAATTGTTCCCCATTTTTGCAACATTATTCATTGATGCTCGCCTCTTATTGGTCATCGGGTCATGTTATATATCCTTTCTCGATCCTATCCTATCGATTGCTATCGAACACTAAAATAAATTTTCAATTCGAACCAGTAGTTGACAGACAAACTGTAGCTTCATAATATTAGTATTGATATAATTATGTTTATAGTTATATACATCTAAATCGTATTGATCTCTTTGCCATCTTTGAAACAATAACTCATAAAAAAAATTGCTCCAAACAAAGGTCACAAATGATGTTGTTTATTTTTTACTTGAGATTAAATTATAATGCGTTTTAATTGCTGGGGATTATGAGAACTTTCATATTAATTACCCTCTAAATGAGCTTAAACGCTCATCGCTTTAAAAAAAAAGGGTTGAACGCACTTGAAGGCTATTGTTTTTCATCTATAAATCTAATGCATTGTAATTATACAGTTTAATGTGTGACAGTCTCTTTGTCGTATGTAAATGAGGCAGATTGCAGGGAGACGACTGGAGTGGGGTGGGAACGGAACAGCTACAATATTGGTACGCGGCGGGACGCCACTTCACTGCCACCCGGGACAGGGGACTATGTTATTATGTATGGTTTTTAACACTTTAAAACTTAATTACAGAAATATTAGTTTGGTATGTTACTCTCGACTGTGTTGGTTTTCATGTAAAATACACTCGTATTTTTCATGAAAACCAACACAGTCGAGAGTATTAGCAGCAAGCATGCGATTTTGAAATTCAACACTTTCTAATTCTATCTTACATCCTTTAACGTAATTTGTAATTAGTTTGTAATTTTGTTATTATTTGTATTATACTGTAATTGTTGTAATGTAAATTATTAGTGAATTGCATGTCATGAGTTAAATGGCAAATTTATTGGATGTTTTGCAATGTATGTACCAACTTTAACTCCCACATTTAAACAAATTAAATAATTAAATGGAATTCATAATTAAACAAATTAACATCATATGTATTACAAAAAATTAATATCCTATTTCAATTCACAATATGCAGTACCTGTTGTCACACGTACCGTTAAAAGTACACAGTATTGATTTCACTGTAAAATAAAAAGGTAACGAAAAAAAAGGTCTTAAGGCATTATGCGCAAAATCTTATACGCGTTTACTACGCTAAGTGATTTTTAGTTACTTTATATTATATTCTCAGCTATTAATAGCCTATAAATTAACACAGTTCTCGGATAATAAAATTGTAATACACCGATCACTTACAATATAATAATAATGAACAATGATCTAAATAGGCCCCTAGTGCCGCAAACTCTTGAGAACAAGTAAGTGTTACTCAGATGTATGTCTGTTACTTGTAATAATTGTTCGTATTGTTTTGCACAAAGCCATGAGTGGCCACTCCAGTATGAGAAAGCGAGAACGAATTTCCGTGTGGGAATGTGGGTTAGTTCTGCTGGTAGATTGTGTTGCTTATAAAGCGGTCATCCAATAAAACTATACTATAGCAATAATGATGGCAAAAAAATATTTGTCTTTATTAGTTTGTGTGTCACTTGGGTATGTATTTATTATAAAGCGACGCGTTTAATAAAAATCGTCTGTTCTTGTCTGTGCGAATGAGATACTTCCTTATTCGAATGATCTGGATTAGCTAGAATAATCTAAGATTCTTTCTATTTAAGATCTTAAGCAAAATGTATTACAATTAAAAAAAAAACAGTATGTGTTACGGCTAAAGTCTTGGTCTATCATGAATAGTCATGGTACCTTAGTCTATACAGTGATAATTCAAGGTAATGAATTACGGTCCACATTCGACTACCAGGCAAAAACTAATATTAAATATGTAGTACAAAATATTCTTATAAACAGAGATAACATCTATAACAAAGCTGTCGATCACCATATCGACAACCAATAACAAAGTATAGTATTAAAATAACGTTTGAGCAGTCAATTAGGCGTTACGTATCGCGGATGGAGATAGCGCGATGGTGGTCCATTGTGGAGCGGCGCCCCGCGGCTCGCGGCTACTACTTGGCGCAGGCACAGTACATTGTAACAACACTGTTTCATATATTTATAACTACTGATTTTATTGCCGCTTCGATGACCAGTCTAGAGGTTATTTTGTGGGAAGTTGTGGTTGTAGATAAATATTTTAGGGAAGGACTACAGAATGTGACAGCTAGACTGCAGAATGTAGCGCGTTTGCATATTTATTTAATGCCTAGTTACTTTTACATTACGGTGGAGCACATATTTTATTAGGATCTACATATATCCTTAAGCTAAACGAGCAGATGGTGATGGTAAGTAACTACCACCACCCATGGACACCTGCAATTTGAGAATCACAAGTACGTTGTGGCCCTTTAAATCTCTTCCCCCCCTAGAAATTAGGGGGCTTTTGGTCTTCGGTAACATACGTTTTTTATTTAATTCAGTAAAAAATTATTTGGAAAAAAATCATAAAATGACATAACGTAACTCTGAAATGAAATATCTAATTTCGTTGCACTTTATGTAACTAAAAAGCTTTATTATTCTACAATTTTTCACATTTTTTTCTTTAGGTACAATAAGTATGACTAGAACTCAACACTGAAATGAGTTTTATTTTACCTAGAAAACTGCTACTTTGTTTACAAAGCCAAATCGAATGCTTTTGTGCTTCTTTCTCATTTTAAATCATTGACATCGCAATAAAATTCTTATCTATGATCGTTTAACCCTAAAGTTTGTGTCAATAAAACTTTGCGTGTTAACAGTAAATCATAATAAGAATAGGCAGTCTTATCGTTCTAATATCAAACGGTAGATCTAAAAAATAATAGCGAACTGTGCAGTCCTGTGGCGACCTCTAGAGAATACAGCAGCGAATGGCTTGTTCCTTCACACCGTTGTCAAAGAGTTGGGTCGTTCTCATCTCGCGATCAAGTCGATAGATAAGTACGTTCTCAACTCCCTGTGGCCGTAGGTCGCGAAAGGGTTCGCCGAATAATTGCAACAATCAATTTGAAGGAGCTATCGAGCAATTTGTATGGTATTTGTGCGGGCTGTCACCCGCTGATGCTATCGAGCGCCTCAGGGAGCCAATGGGAAATGTTTTTGATAGTTATGTTCTCACACCTCAAGTACCTAATTAAAATAACTACATAAAAGCCTAAGGCCGCGTATAAATATATTTGGTGTAAATGTTACAAAATTATTTTCTTACAATTTCGTATCAAAAGTTCAACGTCTTGAAGTTTCAAATTAGTTCTCTAAAATAAAATGAGTTTTAAATAAGCGTGCGTGTTCCGTGGGTTTCCTAGGATAACTAAAGACATTTTTAATACTTTATCGCTAAGTTTTGTTATCAAAACCAATGAATTTCATGTAAGAAAGTACTTTTTTTCTAGATCTATAAAGACCAGCAACTCATCCCGACAAGGGCTTAGGATGCAGCAAGTAAACTGCTATGTCCTATCCCTTTCCACTAATTAATAAAAAAAAACTGAAAGAAAGTCATTTTTTTATCAATAGAATCAATAATAATAATCTAACACATCTTACACACGGCTGTCCGATCCCAAATTAGGCAGAGCCTATACTATGGAACCAGACTGCTTATAAAAATACTTACTATTTAATATTTCTAAATACATTCGTATTATTGATAAATCACACCCAGACACAGAACAAATGGTCGTGCTCATCACACAATTATTTGTCCCGGGATGGGAATTAAACCCACGACCGGTGGCTTAGCAGTCAGTATTATTAATCACTAGGCCAACAGGCCAGTCATAAAGTAAAGAATATGTCATAATCGATTTGTAGAAATGTACATTATACGAGGTATTTAATATCGCATACGCATCTACTAAATGCTACCTTACCAATTATTTAGACAGACTATAACTTAAAGTGGAAATCATAATAAGACATAAACATCATCTTGTTGCAATATGTCACCGGGTAACAAAGCGCTGCGGTAACGGTCCGCTTCATTTGTCTCCCGTAACCCTGTTATTTATGATCTCCTGCCGAAGAAAGAGGACAAAAACGAGACTGATGTTAAATATTTGCCCTGAGACAAGAGGGGGCGATAATTCGAGGCTATTATGACGTCATTTCACGCCCTTTGTGAGGTCGTCACGTCGTGTCATCTGCTCCTCGAGACGCCTGCCTCTACAATCTCCCGATTAAATCTATTGTGTCATTTTTTCAGTAAACGCAAGTCGGATGCGCCACCGACGATGATTTCATCCCGTACGGTTCGCTCGACTTCGGTATAAAAACACTGAAGGAGCTGCCCTATTGTCTCGTGGCCCTTTTACGAGCTTAGTTTTGTGACGCTGTTATTGTTTGCGGTTGATAAACATCTCGCCACCTACCTACCTAAGGTAGGGATCATCGTCACTTTTACCAGTGCTTTACATTAATAGAGTTCTTTTGCGTTTGTTTGTCAATTATAGTCGGGATGAATGGCATTAATGGATATGTTTTTTTAGTATGGATTTAATGAATATAGATTGGCCTGTATTGAAGAGAGATTTGCCATTTTGTATTCAGACGACATTTAAACAAGATCCGAAATTGGCAGCGGCTATAAATAACCTTTGTAGGAGTCAAGCTACACAGATCGATATTACTGAAACAGTAACATTACCGGAGCGCAAACTGCGATTTAATGAGGTGCAAGATCTTTTAAAACAGTCTTCTAGAACAAACGGTAAGTGACCCAACCCAGGATTTCTTTCTTTGACATTTTCTGTTCAATTAGTCTCTAATTATTACTATACTCTAATTATTATTGTACTACTACAAATACTAAAGCTAATTCAAAAATTCTAACGAATTCTATGTACTGTGTCTGTTGGATATAATATCTACTATGCTACTATTAAGAGAGAAAAGTAATTTAAGAGAGATACGTAATTTTTTGCTGCGATCGAGCTTTGGATTCAAAAGTTCCTTATTGTTGTTTCACAGCTCCAATTATAATAAATGACTCTAGAAAATTAGCCATCAAAAAGATTGAGGATATTCTTAGCGACATCAATAAGAGCGCAGAAAACGGAAGTACTCCAAAACTAATTATAAGAAATCAGAAGTTGTGGAGCAATTGCATTTACGACTTAGATCGGTAAAAAGACATTTGAATTATGATAAAATATATGTTTGTAATATATCATTATGTATGTAAGTATACATTAAATAAACTGTGACCACAGTCAGTGCAACTGTGACCACAGTCACTGGTCGAAACGTCAGTCAATTCTAAGGTATGTAGCGTCGTTACCGTCCCGTAAACATAATTTTAAAATAATAATAATATTCAACCACATTCACACAACGCCATCTGATCTAGACTAAACTTGTACTATGGGTATAAATATAATACCTATTTCTTAGCGTTTCATGGATTCACCGTGCGGGTTCATCGCGTGATACGCATGAACTCATCCCATCCAAAACTTTTTTTTTTGTAAAAACATACATATTATACATAGAAACCCCAGAGTAAATCAAACATTACACCCACAATGTTTGACTCGAGCGGGAATCGAACCCGCGACCTTTGGCGTAGCATTCCGTTACACAAACCTTTTCGCCATCCGCCCCCATTTAGAACGCGATAGTTCAAAAGATAGTACATTCCTGATCTTACTAATTTAACTTTTGTGTATTAGTGACTCTCTAGTATTTCCAGCCGCCACTTGTAATTTTAAGATTGTTTGTATTGTAAGATTGTTTGCTGGCCAAAGAGTTGCCCTCTTGGGTAAGAGTCATAGTGGATAGCGGTGTACGCGAAATTGTGTTCTCTGTCTCCTAAAAATCGCGAAACAGTAAACCTCCAATTACTTCAAATTCCCATAAACATAAGGTTTTGCTCAGTTCCAAAATATATTTTGAATTTGTGCATAATTTTTGATAAATAAGTAGCTGTACTCGATTTGCTGTGGCAGATTGAGATTGCATTGACAAGAAATGAGAAACAAAATTGACGTGATAAATGGATATAATAATCCTTGAAATAGTTTGTTTATCGTGTCAAAATTTGAGTTCAATCGGCGCAGAACTTTTTGAGTTATTAGAAGATTACACAAACCAACTTAACATATTTATATTTATGGAAAATAATATGTCTTGTTAAAGTACAGTCAAAAAAAGGTATTAAATCCATTTAATTATGAAAGTGGGTAGCTGTGAATGGATGCGGACTGCCAAAGACCGTAATGGCTGGATTTCTTTCAGCAGTGGACGGCGATAGGCTGATGATGATGATTCATTGTAATTATTTTACTATACATTATATTATTGTATATTGCACACCGATTATTCTACGGGTGAATTGATTTCAGGTCACTCGCTGACTAGTCGAACTGAAAATGATCCCATGAAAAGCGATTGTTTAGTACTTCTGAATTCATCAACAGCTTTTAACAGTCCACTGCTGGACATAGGCCTCTCCTTAGAAAGGAGGTTTTGGCCTACTATACCACGCTGGCCAGACGGGTTGGTAAAGGGTTTGTGTCAAGTTTTCCTTCTCTTTGCAGTTTTGTTGTCCTGCATAGTTTGCTCCCTTAGTCGGATCTTACGACACAGACGGGATGAATGGGGGTGGTGACAATCCGTATTCTTAATTCATCACCACACGGACAGTATTTCTGCATACGTTTTGTAAATTCAATCGTCTGAGTTGTCAAAAGTATTATTGCATTTTAAATGTGTATTTATGAAGGAAAAAATAAACATCGTATACATCAGTTGACTGTATTAACACTTGTCCTAAAACAGCCCTAAATTATATATTATTATTATTTTTTCTAAAAAATACAATTCGAATTTACAAATATACATGAAAAGGACACAAAGAACAGACACACTCAGAACATGTGGAGTTGAACACACCCACAACACTCGGCGTAGTAGGAAGCGGCGTGGCGACCGCTTAAACCACTACGCCATCCGTGCAGTCGTTTATTATAGATATAGTCCGTGCATTATTGGTAGTATATACTAGACCATATTCAATTTCAGTTCTAGCTTCCAATATATGCAGATTGAAATAACACGGGTATGCTTTCTTTATGATTAATCTTCAGTAAGTAGTTAGTCTCCAATTTGATTTTTATTCTTTAACTGGAATTTAAAGATGGTTTGGGATCATTTTGTCAAAAATTTAAATAATTTCGTGTAATTATCTACAGCATTATTAGTAGCAGTAGCATTTGGCAACGTTTAACAACTCCTAGTATGAAGTAAATAGTTTTAAAAATTGATTATTTTTAGCGTAACATTGAAATCTTTCAATCAAGCCAAAAAGACGATACTGACTTATTCACGTGCTGAAGACAAAACGAGATTTAACACGATCGTGTTTGTATTGACAAAAGTACATGAATTACTTTCAAAGAACATGAGTGTTACTAGGAGGTAAGGCTTTAAAACATATCGGGTTTTAAACACCGAGAACCTTTTTATCGATATAATTTTGTGGTTTATAAGTATTAGATGAATATGGAATATGAGACACGGCAATTAAGAAAAATACTGAGTAAATAATATAATAAGTGTTAGGATATTTGTCTGTGCACTACCATCGGAGATTTCTTTTCTTTTTTTGCATAGTCGCAATAGACGATTCTAATCGCACCAGTCGCTCACCATATACTTATGGAATTTAAAAAAAAAACGTTTTTTTATTCAGAGAGCTTTTTTATCAAAATGTAGCAAGATTAAGGAATCAAGCCAACTTAGATGTAGCAGTGAGGGACGTTTGTTGTTTACTTGAAACACCACCTTGGAGTCTTGGTATTATGGCAACATCTAAAGGACTGATCGCAGGTCCCCTCAAATTGCACTATAGAAATGGGGGCGTGGTTGACTGTATGGCGTCAGGAGGTATGTAGTGACATCGATTTCTAGGTAATTAATATTTTCTACATAATTATATCTCATTTTTGTTCAGACTTAAGTCTCATCTTAGTTCTGATCGTAGAGTCTTTATTGGTAAAATTAATCATTATCAGACTTTATCTGGGGCCTTGGACTGCGCGGGCAAATACTCGAGCCCGAAGCACGCGCCATATTTATACGATCTATGATTGAATAAGTCTATAAAAAATAAATTTTGTAAATGGGTATTCTAAGGTAAATTTCATTTGTGACTGATTTACTGACAGATTATCAAAGATCGTTTTCTCCTCAACTAGGCCACCTTTTTTTTTTCCGTGCGGAAATCCCCTCGGATACCACCTGTCGGTGGCATGTCGGACTCGAACCGACTAAAACCGCACGCCGTCGTCGGGTACTAATAGCCGGGGAACCAGGTATACCCTAGAAAGGAAGTCCCTGGTGCCCCGACATACCTCGGGTCATCTACAGACGAGTAGACGACCCACCCCCGTGTGGAAACCCCATGTTCCCTGTGCTCCATGGAAGCGAGCGCGCTTCGCAACGCGCTCGCCGCCACCCCGGCCTGCTTCTGCTAGGGTGACAGATGGCCTCACCTGTCACCCCCAGGCCTGCGCTTATGGAGGACGGAGGTCGTTCTGCGACCTCCGGCGCCTGAGTCGCCTGCGGTGCCTGGCCCGTTCCCGGGCCTGGCGGGCCGGGAGGGTCTTAAACCTCTCCCGGTCCCGCTCCGCCGTCTCCTTCGCGATCATAACTTGCTCGCAGAAGGGGACGGCGTAGTTCCACGCACTCTCGCTCCGCACCATGGCCGCAATCATGTTACCGAGCGAGAGAACTCCCACCCCGATGGCCGCCACGAGGTCACGCTTCTGCTCCGGGCATTCTGACAGCTGTTTTGTCTTACCCTAAAACAAATCCTGGCTACGCCCTTGTATGTAATCTGTTAACATAAATAACACTAACGACAATAACTAGATAATATTATTGCAGAAGGAGTCAACTAGGCCACCTAGAAACATAAAATTTAGACAACAACCAAAAGTAAAATTTCGTGAAAGATTCACGAGGATTCCTCTTATTCTCGTGAATCTTTCACGAGATTTTACTTTTGATTTGCTACTCTTACACTTTAATACTCTTGTTGAGTAAGTGTGATGTAGCCGTACTTACCTTTACCCTATAATACCAAGTATTTATAGTAAGGCTCGTAATAAATCGTAATTAAAATTTTACTTTTCTCTTTTTTGTTGATTTTGAGGAATCCGCATCGAGTAATTACTGCTATAAAACAAGAACGTAGATGTAATAAAGATAGACAGACATTTCGTTTTATATGTTGATCTGTACTATGTCAGCATATCCTTTAGAGAGGCCCGGATCTACGACTTTTTGGAACCGGGGCAGAAACATGATAGTGGCGCCCCTCTCTCCAGCGTTTAAGATAAATTACTTAAAAAAACTCATAAATATATGAGTTCACTAGTACTGTGGGCCTGTGTGGCACCTTTTTCTTACAAGTCGACGGTAAACCAACCAAAAAGCCTCCCGTAAACTTCAAGTTTTTCATTTTTTAATATACGAGTAGTTTACTATGATTTTGACACCCCATGAAACTGCCGTCCGGGTCGAGTGCCCCGGTTTGCCCCCTCCCCCCCTACCCCCTCTGATCTGATCTGATCTGATCTGGGGCTGCCTTAAGATGCGTTAAAAATAGGCTGATTTCATATCGCCTGATTTTGAAAATACAATTCAGAAGTGAACGTTTAAGGAAATGATTATGTATATATTGTGTATAAATAAATTATATTTCATTGTATTTTATCTAATTCTAGGTGTCTTGATACCACAAGATATAACTGGTATAGTAGAATTCCAGACTACTGCTAAATATATATTAGTGGTAGAGAAAGACGCTATCTTCCAGAAACTTCTAGATGAAGGCGCTTTAGTTAGGCTACGACCTGTCATAATTATCACCGTAAGTAAGATAGCAGTTTATTATTTATAAGTAGCGACCTCTTAATATATTGGAATTGTTCTACTATTGTGTACTATAATTATGTGCGTTCGTAGGGAAAGGGTTATCCAGATGTGTCCACGAGACAACTGCTGTGTCGCTTATGTACAGAGATAAGACTGCGAGCGTTAGCGCTTGTGGATGCTGATCCGCACGGATACGAGATCTTCCTCACGTATAAATATGGATCTTTGGTACCTATATGATCTCTACTGATAATCTTTAGCTAATATAATATGGTCCGTGTGGTGAGGTATTAGGAATACGAAGTATCACCACCCCTATTCATCCCGTGGGTGTCGTAAGTGCCGACTAAGGCAGTAGTTCGCAGGACAATAGCATTGCAAAGAGAAGGAAAACTTTAAGGGAGGCTTGTCCAGCAGTTTACCATTAAAGGCTGTTCATGTGATGTGATGATTACAATATTTGCTACACGTCGTATTACGTAAATATTCTATGCCTTGCTTTATAGGAAGCAGCATTGATAGTGTATTACTAAATTACAGTTTAGAAACCTAAAAACACTGTGGAGGAAAGGGTGTCATGTCCCTCCAACACAAAGGGAGGATCCTCCGACCACATGGGCGTACCCAGCATTTACTAAGGGGTGCAGCAAAATTAAGAACACTAGACAAATGACTGGAACTTAATATACCATTTACTTTAAACCTTATTTCAATAATTGCCTCGGAGGTGTTTGGTAAAACTTGTTTAAAAATTCGTTTATAATTTTATTTTGTGCCTCCAAAATCCTCTTCCAATGCACACTTATCATGCAGAGGCTGACAAGTCAGTTTTCTGTGATTGTCGATCGAAGCATTCGCATCAATCACAGTTTTTACTGTTCGTAAAGTACTAAAAGACCTTTCGATTCAGGTTTTAACTGAATTATTCTTTTTATCAGTAGACACATTAAGATTTTGGCTATGCCAAGACTCCGATACGTTATTGGTTCGGAGCCTTCCTCCGAAGACGTGCTTTAATTATATCAGCACAGTACAGCCAGGCGTGGCAAGTAATTTACAAAGAACAATGGCAGAAACATATTTACCTAAAACTTAAGCGTTTAAAAAATCGAGTCACAGTAAACTTGATCAAAAAGATTTCTATGATTTATCATTACACCACCATGTGTTGTATAAGTCTTATAAGAGATAAGATATTTTTGAAGATTTTATTTGACTTAAGTACGTAATGTCAGATTCGCCATCACGTATAACTGACTAGGGATGCGTGCTGGCAATATTATATTATGGAACAATTTATCGATAATCGATTCTTATAGCTTTGGCTGAAATATTTAGCTAAGGTTCACTATTACGATTATGAATTTGCTTCTGCCCACGTCTTCACTCGTACGGTAGAGTGACTGAATCAACATAATTAGAAATGATTTAAAATATTTTTGACTAAATAACTATATTCTATTTCTTTAGTGTGTTTAAAATCGTTTAAAGAGTTAAACGATTTTAAACACACTAAAGAAATAGAATATAGTTACGTTATTTTCCACTACACAGTGTGATGAGAAAAATACATTGTCATTGATAACGGCACATAAATAGACATACCTACATCGATATTTTCAAAATGTCGATACGTCGTCGTTTAGTACATATCTCTTAATCTGTGGTTTAGATCCTGTCAAGTTCCGGACTCACCACGTTTGTTATTTTATTTTTGTTTAATTTAGTGTTAAACTCGAATAGATGTTATGCTTTTATTTTTTTTATTTCATATACTGTAATAATAATGAAAATAATATTTTCGGCTATCTGACACACAACGCCATCTAGTTTCAAACAAAACATTAACAATATGTTAGTACTTAACCTCGAAACATTCAAAATCCAATATCTTTTTTCCTAGACTTCTTTCGTAAGTAATTTTGATATGAGAATGGTCAAGAATAAATTCTCAAGTGTTAAGGATTTTTTGATATTTAAACGCTAACATTTCAGTTCAAATAAAATTATGTATGGGGACCTGCCATTGTCCTTTGTGGATTTTAATATTATTGGTGTTACACCGGAATTTAGTCGATCACTTGGTAATAACGGCACTACTGAACACAGTGACACGACTTTGGCTTGAGCTTTAGTTCTTGTAATATCGAATATCTTTTTGTCCATCCTCCATATTTTTGGTGCAAGTGAATGCACCAAAAATATGGAATGCATTAAGATTAAAGGGTGCTATACCCTTTAATCTTAATGCCGGAAAAAATATTATGTACAGAATTTAAATCTGCAAGTTCCAAGTCGCATCCATGTGATTTTTTAATGGTTCCCAGTCTGGAAGCTGGGATTTAAATATATTGAAAAAAGCTGTGTTCGACTCGTTTTTCTTATTATTTGGTAAAACGTAAATTATTACTGGTTGTGTTTTAGTTGTACTAGCATTGCACCTTTCAGGCCGTCACCCCAGCGGAGGTTGCGGTGGGGCGGTGTGTCGGGATCGAACTAACTAAAACCCTACAGTGGGCCACTTTGCCTGCCTGAGACTCACTCTTCGGGAAATTGAGCTGCAAATAGCGAAGTGGAAAGAGCGACTTGGGCTACCGAGCGCCGGGCACGCCACAATTTTGACGTTAAGACCCATTATAGAGGATTGGCTCGAGACGGAGCATGGCAGCCTTTCCTACCGGCTGACACAGGTACTGACCGACCACGGCTTTTTCATACAGTACCAGTGCTGTACAGGCCAGCCGGGAGCCAAAGTCTGCGTGCCATTACTGCGTAGGCGAGGATACGGCACTCTCTCTAGCGGAGTGCTCAGCGTGGGCGCAACAACGCTCCGACCTCGCGGTGGCTATTGGCGTAGAAAACCTCTCGTTAGGGACTCTGGTACTGGCCATGGTCCAATATGATTTTGATGGTTTCTTTTAATGAGGAAGTGATATCCACTAAAAAGGCTCCGGGAAGGGAACGGGAGAGTGCCAGTACTCTCCGTCCCGAAGGAGTGCACCAGGCACCGGAGAGCTCATATCCAGCCTCCATGAGTACTGGCCTGGGGGCAACGGTGGCCGTTGCCCCAGCAGAAGCAAGCCCGAGACGGTATTCTGCGCACGTCTCACTAAACTGGAAGGAGGACAATGCCCTCTGTGGTCGATGGTGTGGCTGTTTACGGCAGCCAAGATGCCCCGGGTTCTCGAGGTCCCTTGCAATAGACTTATATGTAACGGAACGCCGTGTGGTTTTACTCGGTTCGATTCTGACATGCTAATTCACCGTGAGCCTTGATGCGATGCTGACGCTTGGGGATTTTTATACGGAAAAAAGGAGTACTGAATAATTCAGCGTGGATAATAAAAAAAAACGAATGAAGGGGGCTATTGAATGTTACGTCATCAAAAAAAATCGGTGTTGCAACGGAACCTCTTCATGAAATGTTTTAAATTTTTCGTCGCCTGAAAAAACGGATGTAAGTCAGGGTGGAGGGCGGGGCAAGTGCCCCACCTTGCTCCACTGTGGGTACGCCCATGTCCGACCAGACCAGTTGATCATGCCTGGCAGGCCGCGGCCCAACTGTTGCTGTTGGCAAGTTGTATATACGCTAATCGGCGAGAGAATTCTTCATATTAGCATCAATTAGCAATCTCATTCAGGAGTTACTCCGTAGTTCGGTGTGTCTTCGTTAGATGGCACTGTAGTATGTTTCTTCGTTTCACCGTATGTGGAAGTCGCCAAACACGCTTTAAAAGCATACCGATAGCATTACAGGGAATATCAAACTACATTTGATTGACCTATTAGCCTAGTAGTAAGTGAATGGTAAGTCAGAGGTCTTGGGTTCGATTCCCACCCAGGGTGATAGGGATGGTTGTTGTTAGGAAAGGCCGTGTCTAATTGTAAATTATCTACCTGCAGTCTGGTTACCATAGCACAGATTCTGCCTAATTTGGGATCCAATGGCCGTGTGTGACTTGTGTTATAATTATCCGTCATTGTGGATTACGTATTCATGACTTGGATAAGCAATATGTGAAGCAATCAATATTATGATGAAGATAATAGATTACTAATAGCCTAACCTGCCCATTAACGATGGGTCAACAATGGGATAGATCAGTCATTACTTGTAAGTGTTTCACTTATGATTTCTAGGCGCAATCGCACCTGTCCGCGTCATTGGCATGCACCTCCCTTGTATTGCTAGGAGCACGACACAGTGATATAATGACATTGGCGCCAAATGAAACGCGTTTAACTCTCACAGAACGGGATATACGGAAACTGCAATCCTTGATCAAGAGACCATATTTGGATACGTCTGTTGGTAAGCTTATGAATTTTTACCTAGCTACTGTAGAAAGTCAGATTTCTTCAGTCAGTCAGATTCAGTGCAGTTCAATATTTAGGTAAGACTAGTCGAGATGTTTAGCTTTATATTAAATAGCTTGTACTAGTCTTTTATGAATGTGGATCATATACAAAACAATTTCTCAAATCCGACTTGTTCTACTAAGCAGTTTTAGCAAACCACCAAAGGAAAAAATTCTTCTACTTTATTACATTAGTCCCGATTTTCAAATTTGTAATTGCTTGTGTCTCGGTGGAACAATTGTTATAACAGTGATTATTTGCAGGTGTCAAAATCAAAGATGAGTTAGAAATAATGCTATCTAGTGGTATAAAAGCCGAAATAGAAGCTCTGGCTCCCACGGCCGCTGCTCTTTGTGATGCGTATATCCCGTCAAAAATAATCAAGGATTGCTATTTAGGATGATATATAATTAACATAAACCATATCGTTTCAACTTTGTTTGTGTACTAAAAGTAGTAAGTAAACAATAACAATAATTGATGAAAAACAAATTATAGAATGAAGTTTAATGATAGAAGTTTACTAGTGCCATCTATCAAGCATCCCCTGCAAAAAATGATTGGCGCGGACAGAAAACAAAATTGTATCAATTTGGGCAATGTGGGGGCAATGTGGGGGCCTAAGACTGTCTCGGCTATAACACAAATAATTCCTTTTTGTAAATAGCGATGATATGACAACAAGAATAAAATGAAAAGCTGTATATTTTCATGTAATTAATTCTATTTAAAATTTTAACTGATCTTAAAAAAAGTGCTTACTAGTGCCATCTAGCTTTAAACATAAACAGTTATTAGAATTACACAGTAGTTTTAAAAGTGGTAAGTCCAATCGTATGGTTGACATGCGATGATGGCGTTTTCGAATTGATTAATCGTATGGAGTCCTAGATGGCGTAAAAGACAAGATCCAACAAAATGTATGATTTCCAAAAAAAATAATCGTAAGCGCTCAGACTTTACTTTCTTACTTATGCATCATGTATTTATTGGCTTTCATCATCCTCATCGTTAGCCTATCGCAATCCACTGTCGGACTTAGGCCTCTCCCATTGCACACCGCTTAGATCGATTTTTTATTGGCTTTAAAGCTAAATAAACTTTTTTATAATATGTCTCAAACCTACGGGTTTCAATCTAATAGAAAAACTTATAAGATATAGTAATATAATGGAAATAATTAAAAAATGTGATCCCAAGTAGTTTTAAACGTTGACGACATGGAATTGATTTTTTTGTTGTTACAAAATTATCAGCACAGCACACGCCTCTTAGTACGTTGCAAAAGACACAACCGTATTTTTAGGTATGGAAAAAACCGTTAATCCTGAAGATCTTGATCAGGATAATCGGCCAAATTTATCAGATTATTGTATTGTCATCGGTCCTTGATAAGTGTGCGAAGTTTCAAGTTAATTCGACGTTTTGAAGTGGGTCGAAATCACGACCGAAGATTCCGTTACATAGATACATATGTACGAGTACATACATACAAACCGAGCTTTTCTTTCTTTTTTTTAAAGAGAGCTCTTGCATAGGAATATACCCTGTGTCGCGGAGGATTTTACAAATATACAGTAAACGGACACAATGAACACCAAGACTCAGAACAACAATTTGTCCGTGCAGCTAATAGAAGCGTGTTAAAAAAGGGTAAACCCTTCACTAAGCATAGTTGCCGCTACAAATGGGCGGATGGTTTATTAGGCAGAGTTCATTACTGACCTGTGAGGCAGCAAACGTTCGTTCCTATATTAATTAGTCTGGTCCATGCGCTTATCTCTATGGTGGTGGAAGCACCACTATGACATTTAATGTAGCTCCGTTGTCTGTTGTCCTTGCCGTTCCATTAGGTTAAGATAACCGATAGAAGAAGAAAAGATATAATATAAGTACGAGTTAAACTTACTCGCACTGTAAGCTCAGCTGCACAGGTTAATTACTGTCGGTCACTTCAGAACACATCACTGATAAGTTAAATTTGCGTCCTGCTTTAGAGCATCTTTTCTACTTGTTTTCTTAACTTTACGAATCTATTTGATTAGAGTTGAGTTTAGCCACACACATTCGTGGCTGTTATCTGTATTTACCAAAGAAAGTGATCACTCTCATGACTAATTCTGAGTGTTCTACTCATTTTAGAAATTCAGTATCTGATTGTGTATTCTAAGTAATATATGTATTTGGTACAATTTTTTTATGCTCTGGGAAAAGATTGATCCTGAGTTGCTTTCTCGGTTCAGCCTTTTGTATTAGGAGAAAGTCTGTCACCCAAAATTCGAACTATTTTTAAATATTGTGACCTTTTTGGGAACCGATTGACATATCTGTCGATTAATATAGTGATAAATTGACATGTGCAAAAAATGTGATAGGTGATTATAAACTAAGGTATTTATAATATTATATCGTTCATCACTTTCTCCATAAAATGTAATGTCAAATTTCTGTCGAAGTTATGGATATTAATGGGGACACGTCTAATGAAAAAAAGTCTTTAAATAAGGTACGGTCCCTTAATACTCCACATCTATTGAGGCTCAACAGTGAGCCAGCCAAACGGAAGTCTTCAAATGTGAATGAAGCTGTAAGGTCTTTAGACTTAGCCTTAGGTAGACTGAAGAAGAGCAAGCTGGTTAATTGGGATTGTAGATCGAATACGGGGACACAAGAAACCTCGGAAATGTTCATGGACATGTGTAACAACAGTCAACACTTAACTCAAGGAATAGATAACGCTTCATTGATGTCGATGAATTTTTCTCATTACGAGCTCATGCGTAATTTGTCCCGCCCGAACTGTAATTCGGAGGGTGCATTCAGCGGCAACACGGGAAGCGTCACCAATGCAGATATTCACTTAAAAGACGAACACTTGGAGAGGTATTTCCGTAGCATCGAGATGTGGTCCAGAAACTACAGGGATGGTGGACCAAGCAACATACATTTTGAGATGCCCGATAAGTAATCTTGAGTGTAAACTGTCCGCTGTCCAAATAAAACTGCCCGATGAACGATTATGTAAATTTCAAAATTTTATTTATTCAAAGAAACTTTACAATAATAACAGAATAACCTCAGAATTTATAAATCAAACGTACCAATCTATACAACACTGTAACTCTTAAACGAGACGATAAGATTTATAACACTGATTAACAATAACGTAGATTTTAGATGGTTTTTTTTTCTAGGGCCATCGTACGGTGCGATCTTGAATACAACAACTAACAATCATACAATATTGTCTTCTAACCTGGTGAAAGCAACATGGCAAATTTCTTAGATTCTCCCTGTTTGGTACCCATTTATTTAATTATTTAATTTACTATCAAGATATGTAAGTTATTGCATTCAGTGATCGTTCGTTTTCAATCTAACCGCTAAAGGAGCAATCCGCGGCACTCTAAAGATACAAGGCGGACACTACGCTGCATCCCAACTGCACTCCACCCACACAATGTATCCTCTCCACGCTGGAGATGAATTAATGACACCACCATAATGACTTGCTTTTTGCCTTTTAAATTAAATTAATTGATAGATCTCACCGTTGTTCTCTTGACTTTTTATGACAATTTTCTTAATTCAGACATTCAAATCTTATCAATACATGGTTGTTTAGGTTGAGTGCAGTATAGCAAATAATGCAGGGATCCTAAAAACACAGCATTACTGATTCACATTTATACCACATCCATTGAATCTGGATAAACTAGGACGAAAATCTAAATTTATATAGAGATTTTACCGAAGGACATTAGATAAACAAAATTAACTTTCACTTAGTTGATCAGAGTTGGAAAAGTGAAATAATTGACATAGTCATCACATAGTTCTTACTTTCCTGCATCAAGAATAAGACAAGGTACGGAAGCTTTCGCTGTACTGGAAGACTAAGACCTATAGACTTCGAAAATAGCAAAGTCAGGAGTGAAGCGGTGTGCAAACGATTAGATCCGTCATTGTGCCAATATTTAGTAACAACCCGGCAACTGTGTCGTTTCATTATATAAATAGTATATACTATGAATTTAATTGGTGTTATCCGCTGAGTATTTCATATTTAACCAATGAGAAATTGAAAGGTTCCTTAATTATCACGAACACGCCGAGCAGTGCACACACGTTATAGCACGGGTGCAATGGCCCTGGCTCCTGGCCCTCACATTGTATAACTAGAGAAAATTCGCTAATCAAATCAATACTTACAACATGATGTAAAATTTAAAGCACCCGGTTTCCGAACTCTCTCGTAGTTTATCTAACTATAAAATCTCGTATGTTGTATGATGTACACGTAGCCCGTATATATATTGTCTATGTTTTGTTTCATAACTGGAGAACAAAGCAATATTGTTTATTTTATAATGGAAGAATTTCAAAATATCTAAATTAACATTAACCTTACATACCATTATTATTTTTAATAATTACAACGAATTCGATTTTACTAGGCCCTACGCAATGTCAGATGGAGACATTATAATTATTTATATAATTTAATCCATTATCGTTACAATTATGCAATAGAAGAATCACAGCATCCTTAAGACCATAACGGCAATTGAAATTAATCTCATCGACGTATCGTAGGTATTTAATTAGTACAATGATTGTAAAATTTAGACCAAATTGGCAGTCTTGACAAACATGGAATGTACGATATGCGTCTATGCAGGTATCCGATAACACTTAACAAATATCGGCAAACGTTTATCTCTATACAACAACAACGAATTATCTAGTTATGTCACAGTTACAGGAAATTAACAACAGTTAGTGTCGTCGGTGGCACGGGCACTATCACATGCCAAACCCGACACGCCATTCCTTCTATCTTTTACTCTATGCACAGACATAGACATTTTAAACATTATGATTTAAAAACTTAGACTGCATTACTGAAATAACTATCAGAAAGGCAAATTTTCTAGCTCAATTTATAATCTATTTTGTACAAGCTTAATACTCAAAGTATAACGGTTTTGAGTTCTACAGTAAAGTTATATTCACTGACTACGAAGTATCGATACTTCTAGTGTTTTCAAGAGATAGTTGAATCTATTTTATTTGTAACACCCGTTCGAGACGAGCCTGTCTTCAAATACCGCCATCTTTACTGGGCTCCTATTCCCGACTCGCTCGATGGGCTCTTATATTGATCGTTGATGTTCTTATCTACTAGGAAGATTACGAAATGGTAAATGTGATGGAGCAAAGCAGCTAAGGTTAGGGGATGATCAAGGTCACTTCTTTTCTAAACATTATAAGTCACTATAAAACGCGTTTCACTCTATCAAATTACATATGATTAGAATATTTCTATATACATTGTCGCATGAGGTATTTCAACAGCGCTATAATTTTACAAAACATAACATTTCACACATCTGTAACATAAAGATTTATTTCCAAAAGGCCTAGTAAATTTCCCTAAATGATAAGCTCCTCATTTCGTAGTATATAATGTGTAATAACAATGACGGAAATAAATCACCATAAAACTATCATAAATTTGGGTTCCTGTCGGTCGACTTTAATTACACTTAAAACGGAACCATTTTGGTAGTCTTTTTATTATAACATTATGTACAAGTAGACACTTTTTTAAGAGTAGATAAAATAGAAAAGCTTGACAGTAAAGACGCAGTAGAAAATAGTAATAAAAGCCTAATCGAACAAGCTCGGAGTTGGTATCGCCGTGGCAAGCTGAGGTTATGTTCTCGAGATGCCTCATTTCTAGTTGTGGATTACGAGAGCTTGTCTAGAGAGACGTTTCAACCATTGTCTAAAATTTATTTCCTATCTAGGCTCTTAAGAGCTAGCGAAAGACACAGTATGATGACAGATGAGCCGAATGGTGCTGAAGCTGAATCATTGATTCGATGAGGAAATATTTAATTTGAAGATTTATCTTACTCTCGTAGCCTGTTGTCGCTCATATCAACCTATTTTTTAACGAAATACTAATCTTTTAGTAATTCAATTCATGCAACTTTTCATAACAAATTCCATAATTATCTAATACTAATCACAAGAGATCTCAAACTCACACCGTCGATACATCGAAGTAGTCGATGTGGCCTACACAAGACGTCGCCGAACCGATCGTGGGGAACACATTTTATTAAAGCACTATGTCTCATGTACATATTTACAAGAGTTATGATAACAATAGGTTGTATGGGTGAGTATAAGGTGATTCTCTATCTGTCGGGTGGCGGCAACTTGGTGTCCTCAGGGTCGAGGGACAGGCACTCGCGGAGGTAGTCCTCCATGGAACGATATACATGTTCAATAACACCTTTCAGATCGTGACCTTCATCGGCATATGCCTGAAACAAGTTTTGGGATTAGTCTCTATTGAGTTAATTCGAAAAAGTATGTCCATTTAAAAACTTATTCATATAAAAACTTACAATGTACGATTTAACATTACACATAACACATAAGATTTAAAAGTCACATAGCAATAGCTCTAGTAGAAAACCATGACAAAATAATTTAGGTACATAAAAATGTTTGTTAGTGCGTATGTTTAACGCAAGTTACTATGTGTATTTTTCACATCATAGGATTAGATGTCGCTCTACAAGATACTTGGCTAGGCCAAGCGTATTGTTACTATTAGACCTTGGGTGTGAATGTATTGCTATTAGATTAAATAGCGAATGTTTCTAATGCAAGTGAAGAGAACTAGGATTGTAACTGTACCTGATATCTGAAGAGCACGCCGGCATCAGTCAAGGCTCTAGCCAACTGTAACGCGTGCGGGTAAGGCGCTGACATGTCAGCGAGACCGTGCACAAGATACAGCGCGTGCGCGGGCACGTAGTGTGCGCGCTGTGATGCATCCGCTTCCACGTAACCTTTGTAGTTCACTGATGGCAGGCCCAGAATGCGTTCCGTAAAAGCAACATCTGAAAACAAAATAAAAAATCGACTTGATACAAAATGGAGCAACAGTAACACTTATGTGTATACATTTTATGTTTTAATAAACACGTTTAAGTGTTACTATACATAAAATGTAAGTACTGTTATAATGAAATTTGTGTAATGACGTACATACAAAGCAGAGACTATTAATGAAAATAAATAAATAAATATTTGCCAAAGCCGGTTCCAAATAGATTTCAATGGTGTTATATTATGTATTTCCACGAAGTCAGCAGAACGTTCGCCACTTTTTTCTTTCACTTGATTAAATAGGATAAAGCATACTGTTTCATACTTATTCTGCAAAATAGTGTCCGTTTGGATTGAGAAGCCACTTTTCATATCTTATTGAAATTAATATTTTTAGTTAGTAGTAAATTATAAAAAATTGTTGTGTCGATCCTCGATTTTGTAGTATAATATTTTTAAAGTTATGTGAACATAAAGGTGGCTCCTCAATCTGAATGTTTGAATTGAGGAGCCACGTAAGAACTAGGAACATAATGGATGTATACTTATCATAATTTAGTATGATTTTGTAGTATTTGAGAGTAGTTAGACAAGCGGCGGTAGCCTAGTGGTTAAGGCATTGGACTTGCCATCAAGAGGTCGTGGGTTCGAATCCTGACCAGTACGCTACCGACGTGAACCCCCACTCCTAACACAAGCAATTGAGCTTAGCTGGAGGGGTTACTTGGAATACTAGAAATTTCGGTTGCTAGTAATCCTTAAAAAAAAAAACAGCTCGGTAATGTTAAAATTAAAAAAGTAACCATACATTATATTTGTGGCTCCTCAGACCATACATACGATTATCATTTTTCAAAGAAGCAGTCTTTCAATTAATGAGCAATTTCTTCCTCATTTAGTATTAGGTATTTGAAAGGACAATGGCAGGTCCCCATACATAATTTTATTTGAACTGAAATGTTAGCGTTTAAATATCAAAAAATCCTTAACACTTGAGAATTTATTCTTGACCATTCTCATATCAAAATTACTTGCGAAAGAAGTCTAGGAAAAAAGATATTGGATTTTAAATGTTTCGAGGTTAAGTACTAACATATTGTTAATGTTTTGTTTGAAACTAGATGGCGTTGTGTGTCAGATAGCCGAAAATATTATTTTCATTATTATTACAGTATATGAAATAAAAAAAATAAAAGCATAACATCTATTCGAGTTTAACACTAAATTAAATAAAAAAATAAATAACAAATGTGGTGAGTCCGGAACTTGACAGGATCTAAACCACAGATTAAGAGATATGTACTAAACGACGACGTATCGACAATTTGAAAATATCGATGTATGTCTATTTATGTGCCGTTATCAATGACAATGTATTTTTCTCATCACACTGTGTAGTGGAAAATAACGTAACTATATTCTATTTCTTTAGTGTGTTTAAAATCGTTTAAAGAGAGTCAAAAATATTTTAAATCATTTCTAATTATGTTGATTCAGTCACTCTACCGTACGAGTGAAGACGTGGGCAGAAGCAAATTCATAATCATAATAGTGAACCTTCGGTAAATATTTCAGCCAAAGCTATAAGAATCGATTATCGATAAATTGTTCCATAATATAATATTGCCACCACGCATCCCTAGTCAGTTATACGTGATGGCGAATCTGACATTACGTACTTAGGTCAAATAAAATCTTCAAAAATATCTTATTTTTTATAAGACTTATACAACACATGGTGGTCTAATGATAAATCATAGAAAAAATTTTGATTAAGTTTACTGTGACTCGATTTTTTAAACGCTTAAGTTTTAGGTAAATATGTTTCTGCCATTGTTCTTTGTAGTGTAAATAGTCAGTAATAGAGTTGTGTCCACTAATAACAAATTGCTTGGTTTTTAGTTTTAAATAATAAATGAAGAGAAAGCCAGTAAGAAAAACCAGTCTATTTCTCATAAAAGTTAAAGATTATTAATATTTTAAAAAAATAAATTCGAACAAAATAGGCATTAAGTCACGTGACAGCGAGCACCAATCAGAAAGTGTTACGTCACGCCACGCAAAACATCATTGTTGTTGTTGACGTTTTCATACAGCAGAGCAGGTTACTCATTGTTTTTCATTTTTAGCATATTATTTCACCTTAATACAGTTTCAGTTGACACTGGACACAGATGTAAATAGCTTTGTTTCGCAGACTGTGACGTCATTCAAGACACCATGACACTATTCTGCGTTTTCAAGGGAAATTTAAATTGTTTTTTTTTATACAAAATACGTAATAGATAGTAAAGTAGATTTTAAATTTTTTTTTGAAATTTGATACTTCAGTATCAAATTTAGAAAAAACGACTTATTTAGTGTGTTTAGAGGACCACGACGAGGACTAGATACAATGCTCCAGATGCCAATAATGGGCTCATGAAGCATGTGCAGACGTTCTAGAATGTGGAGATGCCTACATATGTGATAGATGCACAATGTTTTAGAATGTCCGGCGCTTGGGGTTTGACGATTAACCCGTCCGGCACTAGGTGCCAATGTCAAAGTCCTTTATTTTTTTACCAAAACTTATTTAACATTCCTAAACTACGTTTACGTAGAAGTTGTATTTTTGTTATTTGATATTGATTTTATGTTTTGTTAATTTAAGTAATTCATAAATAAATAGGTATTGCTCGATGTAGTTTTAATTTTTTTTCCTGAAAACCTTATGTGTCCGTCACTAGGGGACTTCCCCCTACAGTCGATTATTTACTGCGCAGAACGTCAGGATTGAGAGCCAAATAAAATGCGTTTATTTACTAAATCCACTCAATTTTACTAGTTTTCCTGATGCTACAAATTCAAACACACTTGCTACTATATGTATTTGGAGTGAAATATAAATTTTGAACTATTACTTTCATGGCAATTCACGCTCTTAAATATAGATTGAGGAACCACATTAAAAGTATTGTATATTCTTGAATATCAACAGTACTGGATTCCGATTTTTGGTAAGCACTATACACAATTACTACTAAATGGTACAACATTTTCAAAAATATTCATTAAATTCTTTACGTGTGTGGTGAGTTTCCGTTTAAAATCAAAAGTGTCTCCTCAATCCATACGGACACGCGAAAGATCGGAAAGTTAAACGGATTCGAGTACTATTCGAGAACACATTTTCCCTATTGTTCGAAGGACTCAAATTCAGCCTTGGATCCGACCGTCAACCCACCTAATGAAATGGCCGAGGCTAAAGCGCCACATAAAAATAAATATATCTATAATAACCCTATTATAAAATAAAAAACTGACGAGATCCATCAACACTTACTGTAGTAAAGCCAGTCAGTAATAGGTGACACGGCGATGCCACACTTGAGCGTAGTCTGCTGACTGCCCAACAACATCGCAGTCACATATCCACCATAGCCCCAGCCCCAGACGGCGACACGGGTTACGTCCAAAAATTTGAACGTGTCTAATAAATATCTGAAACACACAAATAATAAGAACTATTAATTTTTAATTTTATATAGAAGTTGTATATTAACGCATATTATTAACTAAAACTAATGATTATCATTTTACTCTCTGGATCTAATCTAATTTTTGTATTTAAGGGTTGAAAAAATATTGTTGATTTGAAAACAATATGTTAAAGTTAGAACACAAAGATCTATGTCTTATAATACCTTTGGATCTAGATAGTAATTTAAAACAATATTTAAAACACATATGTTGTCTTTCTGATAGCTATAAAGTTATGTTGGCAATGCACTACAATTAAGAAAAAAAGTTTATGTCGTTTAGCTGATGATGCAAAAGTATTTATAGGCTACGGTGACCACAAAAATAACGTGGCCCATGAGCTATTTAAAAAATGGTTCAAATGTTATTTGAAAACATTGCTTGTGAAAACTTCAGTATCCAGCTTTAATTCTTCCTAACCTAATAACAGCCAACTGGTCAGCGACCTCGACGCCACCTAATCTACCCCGTAGCAATGCTCTTGGCAGACCTCGTGCGCCTGCCACATCCAATTTCACGTATACTACGTCGTTGCGTGATGACATGTACGAGCCCCAGTCTACCAGGAACTCATCCGTTACTTGCTGACTGCCTGGTCTGCCATCTCTGCAATTATTTTAAAAATAATTTAAAGGTCATGGTACGGTTCTTCTTTTTTCTAATATGACACTCTCAAGCAAACTCTTAATAAGTTTATTTACGTGTGTTTATTTATGTTTAAAAAAAGGTCTAAAACCACTGCAATAGTGTGGCTATCTTACATATCTAAAAATTATCCCTATAAAATTATCAATTTAACAATATTTTTCACTTACGTCAGTACATAAAAGAACCTTTCTAAGTTCGCTCAAATTATGATGAGATTAGTTTAATATGCGAATTGATCGTACGAATGGAGTTTTTGCAAGCATATTAGTCCTACCGTCGATACCTATACCGGTCAGGTGCGCAAAGTTTCATATAGTAAGTACTACCGGGTTATGCTTAACTACATAGACAGCAAGCTTAGAATCACGGCGCACTCTAATTTCATTGTAAAAATACATACATTGTACAACAAATTATTGCATTACGCTCCAGGTGACTCCCGGAAATCACATCGTACAACACTTTAACGTAATTATATTTGTTAAGTTAAAATAACAATTCAGTTACTTATTAAATGCAAAATAAACAAAAGATGGAAAAGGAAACAGTAGGCCTCACTTAAAAATCCAATAAAAGCCGTTGCAGTTGCCAGAACATTCGGTGGAATTTGCAAAATAATAAACCAAGATCTACCTTCAAAGTTGTTCCAAATTTTGCTAAGAGTAGTTTAAGAAAAACAAGGTCTAATTAATGTTAACTAATTCATGCGTGTATTGTGAAAACTAGGCTAGTCCGTTGTATGAATATCAAAAAAATATAGATGCACTCTACGAGAAAACTGTCTCATAGAAGAGAAAGATATTTTTAATTAAAAAAAAGAAGGTTGTATTTACACGTGGACAAGCACAGGAAAGGCAGCATCTCGCAGTTCTTCTCTCCAGGATGGAGGCAGAAGTAACTGCACCCGCGCTTTGGAGCCGCTGCCCAGCTGCACCTCGAATGAGCGTCGAGTTGGTAGTGCCAGCTCGCGCAATCGTACTGATCTGTTTACGTTGATAACTTTAGAATATAATAATGATTGTTAATGTGAATGAATAAAATTTAATATGATAATAAGGTATTGTCACTAGTACTTATCGTGTATTTTAATATTAGTTATTGAGCTTGAAGACTTACCTATAAGGCCTCGTGTCATATAATATTCTCTCTAGCTTATGGGTTTTGGCATCGTGCAGTCCAGCCAGTGGAGGTCCAGGACCTCTACACTCTAAGACATAGTGCGTTATTCCTAGCTTTGGGCGCGGTGGGGAAAACACGGCACTCCAGTATGAGCAATTGGCATAGTGAAGTCGTGCAGGCCACACTGCCAGCTCACACGTTAAACACCGCGGCTCCTCTCGGTCCGCCCGCGCTTTCACGGAATTACTGCCACCGCCGTAACTCGGGTCTCTAACTACATAAACCTGTCTTTGTCCAGGCCTGTCTGCACTGCCTGTTTCAAACAACACATCTGTTAAAACACTAAACGCACAAACGATAAATATTGTGCTAACCCCAAATACATAGTCACAAAATCAACAAATAAATGGAAACAAATGAGAGTAAATTGTTATTTTATAATATGACTATGAGGAGACGATAGGTTAGTAACATCTGACCTAAGACTTCGAAAAATAAAACACTCAACTCTAGTCAATCTAAATACTTAATTTGATTTGCTTCCTTCACGTAATCTGGATGTAGTTTAGGTATTGACAACTTGTCTTTGTCTAGACCTTTAAAGAAATAAATATAGTAAGGACAACTGATAGACAGAAAACGTTTTTTATGACGGTATCAAATTACCTAAATAATATACTAAATTGTTTTCCTGGTCCCATGCCAGGATCCTGGCCACTTCGACCTTGCCGTGTGAGAGCACAGCTATTCGCTGCCGTAGTACATCTACGTGCTTAATGTGCGTGTAGTACTGGCCGCCGCCTTCTTGCACGGCAGCTAATAAAAGAAATGCACTGCCATCTTCTGAGTATACGGGTTGTTGGTGCACCTCTAACCATGGCTCTTCAGTCGCTTTCTCTGAATGCGTCTGAAAAAATCGTCATACTGAGACTATACAGTAAGTGCTAAATCTCAGAGTAAATAGTGCAGAAAAAAGTAAAAGTGCTGATAAAAGTATTTCTACTACGCTATTAGCCAGCCAAGAAGAAAGTATTGTTACTTCGCGTCTAAATTCTGATACCGGCCACCGCTACTTTATGTTAGTAGTAATTAGACGTGTAGAATATCAATTAAATTCACATTATTTATTAACAAATCTAATGTCGTCTAATGTCTAATCGGAAATACTAATCATTATTATTGGTATGTCCTTAGGATAATTAAATACGGTACAGTATAAATACCTCTGTGCAAGTCCAATTAGGTGCGTAACAACTGCTATAAACTGTAAGATTTTGCGCTCGATTCATCCACACTACACCTACATGAGAATTGTCTTTGCCCACCCACTGGGCTGATATGAGATAATATTCCCTGAAAAATTATACAGACGCATGATTTTCATAGAACATTTCTATAAATAAATGACATAACAGAAAATAACGCACATGCCATCTAATGTACTCGGCGGCCTTACTTCCCATCTTGGCGGGGCTGTTGAGTTCTGCACACTTACTATAGACAACGTTACCTTTGGTATCGAACTGCCAGGCTGCAAAGTAAAGTTAATATTTAAAATAATAATAATAAAAACTTTACACATTCAGACACGGCCGTCTGATCCCACACTAGCCAGGCCCTGTACCTACCATGGTAATCGGGTTACTGATAAACATACTTATATATTTCTAATACATTATAGATATATTATACCCAGAAACAGAACAAATGATCGTGCTCATCACAAAATCATTTGTCCTAGGTGGGAATCGAACCCACGACCTCTGGTTTAGCAGACACTTGTCACTAATAACTGGAGGAAATATCCTTCTAAAACAAGCTAAGCACGTGCTTAACACGTTTCATTACATTTAGTGATTACACCTTTACTTAGTTTGTTTAGTTTATTAAAATATTGTGATAGCGGATGACCCTATTAATCAGTCGTCAAATGTAATGTCAAAAGTTATGCCCATTACAGACCGATAAATACAACAACAAATATAAAATTGACTCTAATAAACGCGTATAACCTTTTGTAAGTCTGGTTTCTCTTTCTAAAACTGTCACTCAAGTGGATTATATTATATTCTACAGCATGCTATGGACATTCGCAACGCAGTGATGTGCCATCTCCAGTCAATTGTGGATTTTATTTTGTTTCTTATCATTAAAATAAAGTATATGATAACTGGCTTTTTGGCTTTGTAAGCCAAAGCCAAACTTTTCTCTGGGGTTTCCTTAACTTCTATGCTCTATGGTCATGGTTAATATGCCTATTGTGTGTGATTTAATGCCTTAATATCGGTCATTATGAAATCAGAAAAGGATGCAGAAAAGTACTTGGGGTTTCTTTTGAACCAGGAAAAAGCCCTGTCCCCGAGAGACACCTGCATGACATAACCTATATTGATGTGTGAAGAGTTGCTGGCGACAACTAGTCTAGTAAGATAGTAAATGTATCATACCGTAGGGTATCTGACAGTGATCTGATCTGGAAATATGGTGTGTGTAGTAATGTTGTTGTTGGGCAACAGAAACCCGGTCCGTGCTGCAACAGCACCGCCGATCCCATCTGCGATCCTCGGCAGGCGTAACTCTGCTACCGCGCTGTCGTCGTATTGTGCGTACAACACCAGCGAGCCGTCGATCGATCCCCATGTCGCTGAAGATCTTTTTGTCACCTCCTCTGTTTTTTAATTATTTTTAAAGAATTTCTAAACAGGTTTTTTTCAAAATAAGAGTAGTATAATAAAAACAAATAATACTGTTTCTAAATAATACATTTAATATCACTATCTACTTTCACCAGTGTTTTTTCTTACCTTGATACAGCCAATCTGAGACTCCATTGTATACGACGCCAGGACTTGCGTCGCTGGTAAGTCGCAACAGCGGTGCTCTCTTCGCGGGTGGCCCTGGTCGAGCCAACACCTCGTTGTCGGCTGCCAACAACAGCGACCCTTCTGTCCCCAGCCAAGCTGCGTGCTGCCATTCCCAGGAACTCTGACCCTCGCCAAACAAGGGAATGTGATGGCTGTAAGAATACCTTATTTTTACATGGCGTTAAGGTCTTTTAAAGTTAGTAATAGTGAGTAGAAGAGAGTTAAGTGCTTTTTTTTCTACCACCTGATATTAATTATATATTTGAATTTAGGGGAAATCCGGGCCTTTTCCTTTATGAGTAATCACGAACAAATATCTGCAATTATCTATCTATATTGTCTGCTATTAACTTAAAGACAGTGGATTAGTCACAGATATAAATGGCAGATTGACAAGTATCAGCAACTTTAGTAGAAGTTGCAGTTTTAAAAAAATGAGCTAACGCTCTCGGTCTGGAACTTTATTGAAACGGTACAAAAAGAAAAATGAGTGTATATGTCACTATGATGGAAACTAATAAGACTGTTAAACATTTAAAGCTCATCTTTTCCTCCTCTATAATATATAACTCAATATGTATAGGCTACAATGTTACCAAGAAGGAATAAGGTCGTCCATTTAAAATGATAGATTTAAAATAAAGAAAAAGTAAAAACAAAAATTATGTAAAAACTATATACACTTGCTATAGACACAGCATAGAAATGATTAAACTGTGAATGATCAGTGAAACGGTGGTGTCGCAACGATGTGCTACCATGCGAGGTGACCCGCAACAGGTGTGCTATTTCACAAAAATAATGTGAACATATTTGTTTCAAATAAATTGTTAACTAGAATTTTGTTTTAGTAATAAAAATTACTGCACAAAACAAAGAATTCACTAGTAATAGTGAATTGTTTGTTTTGTGCAGTAACTTTTTTTGGTCATTCTTGAACGTAAAGTATTGCCTCCCCGCCCAAGTGCGCCTCCCTATAGCATTAAAATTCCGCTCGCAAATTTTGAAATAAATTGCAAATCTCATTCACGTACCTCGATCGTCAAATCGATTTCTTCACCCGCGAGACGATCGGGAGAGAAAAATTACAAAGGAGAAATGATTTAAAAGAAAAAGCAAAAGGGGTAAGATGAGTCTTTTTAATATCATCTTTTGAGGCCATTTCCTTTGCAGGTTTCAAAGATTTTATGCGGAAATGCCGAAATCCATTGTACAAGGTGTCTCAAAAGAAAGTTTATATTTAGTAGATCGATTTAAAAAAAAGTAAGCAGTGTATCGAAAAAATGTTTATTAATTATTAAAGCACACAATTTGGGCATTTATTTCTTAAAAATAATATCCTCCAAATGTAGACCCTCGCGTTCGCAGCACTCATTTAATCGAACAGTAAAATTACTTATGACGGCTCGGCAGGTGAACTCAGTGATGGCTGCCATTTCGTGACGGATATTTTCTTTCAAATGCGCCAGGGAAGTCGGTTTATTCGCGTAAACTTTAGATTTAAGATAACCCCATAGAAAAAAGTTCATAGGGGTTAAATCAGGACTGCGTAGAGGCCAATTTATGTCACCTCTCCTGGAGATCAATTTTCCTGAGAAAATTTCACGAACTCGTGGCAGAGACGTATTGGACGTGTGTGACGTTGCTCCGTCCTGCTGGAACCATGTTCTTTAGTTATGGCCAGGCAAGTTTTGCAGTTCAGGCGCCAAGAAGTCGTTTAACATCTCCACATAACGCTCTGAATTCACTGTAACTGCACGCCCCCTTTTGTCTTCAAAAAAGTAAGGGCCGATAATTCCTCGCGCCGACATCGCCGCCCATACTTTCACTTAAGGCAATTCTGCTTATTTACGTGTCCATTAACATGAAAATGAGCTTCATCCGAAAACAAGATGTTGGTAAACGTTGAAAAGCGCTCAATCGCCTGATTTACGAAGTCAAGCCTCTGACTGGCATCTTGGGGCTTTAATTCTTGCACCAATTGAATTTTGTAGGGGTGCAGATTTAGGTCTTTGTGCAAAATGCGGTGTAATGATGATCTATGCACATTTAAAGCACTTGCGCGCTTCCGAATTGAAAGGTTCGGGTCGTCACGAACAGACTGATTAACACTCGCCCCGTTTTCTACCGTTCTTGATGACCTTGGTCGCCCGGATTTTGGTTTTTCCAGCGTTGTACCGGTCTCTTCAAACTTTTTGACCCATTTTCGAATACGAGGAATGCTTGGCGCATCATTTAAATGGCGAAAACCTCGAACACTTCAGAACCTTCTACGCGATACAGTCGCCGAATCACCGTTTTTGTAAAACTCTCGCACGCACAACGTACGGTCTGCTCCCGAGAAACGCTCCATAGCAACTGAATTCCCAAGAGCCAGGCTACCGATTGACATAACCCCCGTGCCCCTCGGACTCGTTGCGTTCACGCAGTAAGCTAAATAAATATAAACTTTCTTTTGAGACACCTTGTACTTCATATTATTTCTGGGAATAAAAATTAAAGGCACTAACATTAATTAAGAACCAGAGACTTTCATTTACAGTATAAGCAAGGCCGTCTAAGTATATTCTGGGGCCCCTGGACACACAAGAATTTCTGGCCCTCTTGGACAGTAAAACTTTAGCTTTGAAAATGAGCGCTCTCCACTACAATTGGTAACCATAAGGCAAAAGAACATGTTAGTGGCATTTTTGAAAAAAGTTTCTTCTACTTTATCAGGCTTTACTTATTAGTTAATGTAAGTTTGAGCTCCTCAAATTTGCTAATTCCTTTGCTCTAATAAAAAACTTTAGAAGGTGGTGAAACTACCCACTGCCTATCTGGAAAGTTTGGCAATGCCACATTTTCTATGGTATATTTCTATGGTATGGTATTTCAATGTTATTGGCTCGTAATTAATGATGGTTTCCCAGTCGCTAACAACGCCCCAATTTACTTTATAATTTTTTTATCGGATTAAATCGATTTGAATGAAAGAAATGTATAGTGTAAGCGAATATATCGCTTTTCGGGGCCCCCACGACGATGGGGGCCCTGGGCACGGGCCCCATGTGCCCATGGTAAAGGGTGGTATGGTACTGAGAATGAGGTCAATTTAATACATTCTGAATACGTTGGATATAGCCATAAGGCATTAATCACATATTTTTGAAGTTTATAACTTATCTAAATATATGAAAATGTAAAGTTTTGGTTTGTGTACGATTCAAAAACTCAAATAGATCGGCAGATTGAGCTCAAATTTTGACACGATATACTACGCTTCAAAGATTGTTTCTATTTATTTTTCGAGTCAGTTTTGTTCCCAATTTCTCATTAATGTAAACACAATCTGCCACACCGTAGCATGGCAGGGTACAGCTAGTTCACCAGGGGCTTCCTTTCTAGGGTATACCTGGTTCCCCGGCTATGAGTACCCGAGACGGCGTGCGGTTTTAGTCGGTTCGAGTCCGACATGCCACCTACAGGTGGTATCCGAGGATTTCCGCACGGACAAAAAAAAAGGATACAGCTAGTAGTAAGTATATTTCTATACATTACCCTTTGTTTTTTGTTGTTCAACCGTATCCTAGTAGACTAAAAGGAGACCCCAACCTAGTTTTGGAAAATAGACCCTGAAGATAACCCTTTCTATGGTTTTTTGCAGGTTATATGTATTTTTTTTTTTAATGGATCAGAGGAATCTGTATTCGAAAATAACGTAAAAAGGCGTAAAAATAATTCTCCTCCAGTGTCAACATGACGCAGACATTCATTCATGTTATTTATGACTTATATACAACCTCACGAAATTAAGTAGGTACTTCTTCATATTTACAATTACGTAATGCACATTTAAATATTTGACTTTCATAATCTTTATTAAAGGGTTTGATATTATTGCAACAACAGATAATATAAAATAATAAAATTATAATATATACTTACCTACTTCTTCTCTGATTATGTTTCAAAACAGACGAATCGTTCCTAAGACATGCTTAATAAATACTAATAATTAACTTCTCTTTTATGTTTGTTAACTAATCTTTTATCATGAAAATAAAAGATATACTACTCGCATATACATTTGAGACCACAGAGGGACCTAATAAATCCAAATTCAATTCAATTCTTTTCATTGGATTTTCAACGGAGCCTGAACACAGCTTTGCAAGTACAATTAAATAACCGTTGTTAAATTTACACTTATTTAGACTCAAACTGAATCTGCAAATATATTTTATGTTTAACTTTAAAAGCTTTTCACTGTGACCTTTTATGATAATCGAGCGTCAAATATCAAAATACTTACTCATTTGTGACGTCATAAACGGTGTAGTGCGCAGTAAACGTCCGCCGGTAAACCTGAAAAATCATAAAAAGAAAAACTTAAAGGACTAAGTATTTCTTAGGCGCAGGCTGTAGAACGAGCGTCCCTGTTCCTTACGGAAAGCATTTATATATAAAAATGTATAAAATATCAAGTTAATAAAGTTAAATTGATTAAAATATGAAAAAAATTACTTATCATATATAAAATAGATTAAACACTGAATGATCTGGGACTAATCTGGATCTAATAACAAAAAGTCGAAGAGAAAAGAGTCTTTTGGAGCGCAGGAGAGCTGTGTGCGGTGATGTGTATAGGTCATAATGCTATAATTACAGACCTATATGACCTATATACATCGGAGTCGGAAAGCCTTGTAACACATTTTTCGGTCTCACTCCCATCCGCTCAGAGCGTGTAACGCGCGATAAGGAACTTCGATCCAATATAAAAATCACTTATCGTTACTTTTGCGTTAACGTTGATAAAGATTACAAATAATGACCTAGGCTACATTTCTTCCACAATAAAGGTATCATTCCCAAAGAATCATCATCATCATCATCATCAGCCTATCGCAGTCCACTGCTGGACATAGGCCTCTCCCATTGCACGCCAAAGAATAGAAATTACTATTACACGAGTACCTACAGCCGTGATGTAAACTAATATAATACGAGTATATACAATTAATGTTCTACAATGATACTTACTTCCTTGATATTGTGTTGAAAGAGCACGTAGCGCAAATTGGGAGAACATTCGTAGCCGCGTACATTTAGTTGTCTCTGTGATAACAAAATAACCTTCATTAATGACGCCGATTTGTAAGAGAATGTTTTAAACTTAGGTGAAAGAATATTCAAAGCACATGGTTTTTAAAACCTTCTCTGGTGACGTACAACACTTTGCGGGTTTTCGAAGTAGCTGTAAAGGGTAAAGTGGGGTCCGCAAAGCCTTTTAGAGACCGAGTGTTGATGTAACAATGGAACGTGGCTTGTGATTCGAGCTCTAACTATTAAGTGACATACCACACAATGAATCAAAATTTTATAGTGAGTAGCGGATAAAACTAACAGTATGAGTGTTGCAATATGTGTTATTGTTTGATCTGATTTTCCCTGAAGGATCGTTTATGTTTTACGGAGATATAATACGGAAACCATTTTTTATTATACTCGTATATGTAACCTATTCAATACAAAAAGACTCGAAAAAATTAGTCATGCAAGAAAAATCATCCAACATAAAACTTTCGTTCTTTTATAGTTAGTAAAACAACAGCAGCTAAGCCAGGGCTTTTAATAATAATACTAGCGCAGATCGGTCGCCTTAGTGATTTGGTTTTTATATTTATCTCTTACTCAAATTTTCATTTTTCGAATCCCGGCTTCCCGAAGCAAAATAAGTTCTTATTACCTATTATTATGAATAATGGAAAATGTTGCTATAAATTTTACAGCAACGATCGCGGTAATACCGATTGCACTTAGGTAACCTGGGTATGAACAGCGAATACGAGAGCCGGAATGATTAAGGGCTTCCGTTTCTGCCTCTACATAGTTTGTAACTAAGACTAGTTCTTGCGGCAACTACAGGCTCATTGGTTAAATTATTGTAAATAAATCAGTACGAGTATTTTGTTCATTGTTTTTATCTCTTGAAAAATAATAATCACCCACAAAACTACACGATAAATTTAAGAAATGAAATTAAATCTTCAGGATTGCAATGGTATTTTTTAACCTTATGCTTACGATACCATTTTGAAGGTAACGAATGCATAGCATCCTACTAAAATCTTACTGTTTACTTCTATTCGAGATATATTGGTTGAAATAATTAATAGATCAAATATAAGCTGAGCATAAAATAAATAAAAATGCGTCTAAGATATTATTTATGTTATCCTTGAACGCTATGACTTGAATTGTTACTCATTGGATTTTCCAACAAAAAATTACGATTCTTGATTGTGCAATTTTCGAATCTAACGTTTTGATTTTTTTGGGTACTTCTATATGTAATCGTGTATCAATAATTGTCATTGACTAGTTTGTGTGTGTTGAGTGTTTGTGTCATATTACAATACACTAAGTTCACTTTTCTTACAGTGTGTAGTTAAAGTTTCCGTTATAAGACCAACAAAATACATGTTACGGTAGCTTGCGGCGTCTTTAATGGCGGAATAGAGCTGTAAATCCTTTAATTATATCTTTATGGACAGTGATAAATACTTATATTGACTTATTTAATATCCATATACTTAAGGACCTGGATGTATGTGCAAAAAATGGACGGCTTTAACGTAAGATATAATTAAAATAAGAAAATAAATAGGTGTGAATGCAGGTATTGATGTGGCCGACGGCTGGCCTTTAAAAAGAACCAGACCCTTACCCTCTAAAACCCTTTGCAATACGACCTATTTCGCAAATCCTAAATTAAATCGAGAGAAGGCCAGGAAATAATAGTTATGATGATGAGCTAGTTAGTGGATAATTTTGAACTGAGTTAGACTTTGTAAATGTCCTCAAAGTATAATTAAATGACGTAGGGGTACGAGGTCTATTCCAATTTTGTTTATAATTTTGTAATAAGGTAACATTTAAACTTCAACTCACTAGAGTGTGGTTTGTGACGAGTACTGTGAGAGTATTGTTGAAGGTATCTAGCGCAAGTAGACCTCCGTCGTCGGCTTGGTACACCAGTTGGTGTGAGCTCACCCACGTAGTCGGCAATCGGTCTCCGGTGAGATCCCCATGAAGGAACTCGTCGAGGCGCATACGCCGTCCCGACCAATACAATAATTCGTCCACATACCTGGAAATTTGCAATGGCGCTTAGTTTTTACCTTAATATTTTTAAATTAATTTTCTGTGGAATTGCCTACCAAAAAACTGTGCTGTGTTATCTGTGCACGTTATAGTTGTTTCTTAAGATACTTAATAAACATATTAAGATAGATAATTAATATACATTAGAAAACGTAAATGATAGAGAAGTGTGTATTTAATTATTCAAATGTATTGTATTTATATCAATATTTTAATATATATTGTCAATAATTAAATTCACTTACCCTAAAAGATAAATAGCTGTGACAATACCCGCTATAACAAAACCGATGACCATCAAAGAAAATACGATGCTTCTCCAATTGTGGCCATCCCCCTGGTACAAGTCCTGAAAAATATTTGTTCTTTTAAGTAATTGTCGAATGCGAGTGTCGAATGAAAGGGGTGATGTAGGTGTGGCAAAGTAAAATGACATCTGTCAACAATCTCGACCGAACGTCGCTAAAAATAGACTAAGAAATCGGAATTTGATTTATGTTCCCAAAAGGTGGCAAGTTCAATGATGCGATATTACGAGGATTCTGCCCACGAGGCGGTATAATTTCTATTGCTCTTTGCGAAAATCTTCTATCTCGTTTTTTTCATTAAAGTCATTTTAGTTGCGCAAAAGATTGCAGTGACTTGGTTCTTTTGTAATTTAGCTATGAAGGACTAAACATAAAACTTCTCTGTAGAATATTAAATATTTCTTAACTATGGAATAAAAATTGGAACCTGTGTCCTATCTTGGTCTAGTTTTGAAAACACACAATATCTAATACGTACTGAGGTAAAAATTACGTATAAAATTGCCCGCTGCTATTTGTGAAATCAAATATCAAAATTGCTATACTCGTAGTACTTTAGATGTGCATAAATGTGCTGTACCTATTTATAATGTTAGTTGTTAGGGCTAGAGTTATACACAATTTCAACTTTTGAGGACACTATTGTATTAAAATATTATCATTAATCATCAACAGCCTTTACTAGTCCACTGCTGATCATAGGCCTGTCCTTAGAACTTTTAGCTAACTTTTATGTTTCAGCTTACTATGCTACTACTAGATCTACTAAGATCAAGAAATAAAAATTTAGAAACAAACATAATATAATAGTATGAGCAACATTTAGGGCGATTTTAAGCCTTTAAATATTCGAAGAATTTAAGTCTTTGTATGTTGCATCATATTTATGTTTTAAAGCGGAAACTTAAAACACATGTTTTCTTCTTTACCTTCGATAATTTTGAAATTGTTTAAATTAAATGCCTGTGTGAATTATGACAATGCTTGGCTACGTTGCAGTGGCCCCTTCCAAGACACTAGCTGTTCAATATAATATAATTTAAAAAAATACTAAAAATACAACTTAAAGTATCTGCATCTGCGAATATGATGTATTCTAAAGTCTAGAGCACAGTTTCGAAAATGGTCATTATACTGGAATAAGAACATAATCCATGACCGTTGTAGCCCATAAACCTGTTTTGATAGACCAATTAAAACGACGTATTAGGACATTCGACGTAATTTTTGGAATTATAATAAAGTAAATACTATTAAGTGATTTTACAAGTAGAGACGAGATCTACAGGAAGTAAAGTGTAGTGTCCCGGTAGTCATCTTTATAATGGGCTAATAAATAAGGGAAAATATATATGATGCACATTTATAAAATGGACAAATTATAAATCAGGCAAAATATTTAATGTGTTTTAATTATGTCTTTTGTAACAAATGTATAAAAGAACCAATTACTTTTATATTGATAACTAATGAGTCAGACATACGGTGATTCAAATATTATCATTGATAAATGGAATACCTCTTCTTTGGCAGACTTGGGGTCGGCGACCTGTAGTGTCTCGTCGGGCGGGAGGCGCCAGGAGCCCCCGCCGCCGCCGCCGCCCGAGCGGTCCGTGTGGCCGGTGGCGTGCATGCGCCGCCGCCGCGCGCGCACCCGCCACCGCGCCGACCTACGCGCCCGGGCCTGCCGCCGCCCCACGCCCCGCGCCCACCGCTCCCACGGGCAAGAGACGCGCGTGCGCAATCCGCCCCATCACTGTCAATAAGAAAAAAAAATTTTTGATGATATTTTATTATATTATATAGTTAGTAGCTAGACTGGCAAGAAGGGGAGGGACACGGAAGAAGTCAACGATACACATACATGCAATGATACATGTCCCATTTATTACGAGCGCAATTGGTTAGTTTACGTTTAGTCATAGTTAAAAGGCTTTAAAAACATTATACTATACTCTGGATCGGTATCCATAACCATAATCGAGTAGAATGGAATAGAAACTAGTTCAATTAAAATGTTGATTTAATAACATACACTCTAAGCTTGTGGCTAAGTGGTAATGCATTGCAAAGTTAAGCAGTACGAACCAGGTCAGTCTATGGATGGGTTTTGGGATTTTTAACACATTTCGTGCCTTGGAGAGCACGTCGAGACGTCGGTCTTAGTTGCCATACGAACACCTGTTGCAAATCGTTACGGGTAGTTAGATCCCTAAAAGCCCCGACAACTGTCTTTCAACAGAAAGGTTCTATGGATCTTATTGTATGTAGTTGCTTCGCGTAAAAGTGAAGTGTCGTAGTAGATTTAAAGCTGACCCCAACCTAGTTTGGGAAAAAGGCTCGCAGGAAAAAGGAAGATGAATTACATACACATATACTCCTGTTTTTATCCCCGAAGAGCTAGATTGAGGTAAACGACCACATTTTGCTACAATTAATTTTAATGCTCATATAATTCTCTCAAAATATTCTTTAATTCTCTTAACAAATATTACTATCACTATTGTTCAGAAATTGCCGAGTGATGAAGATTGGTCTAGGCAATTGAAAAAAAAGTTGCATTTGGTGGTGTAGCTGTTCTGCTTCAAGCTGAATTTTCTATTTTATGCGGCCAAAAGGAACAAAATACGACAACCGCAGTGCGTGCATCGGTCGCTTTATACTGGACCACTGTACGAGTACTAGCGGTTCAACCGTTGTGGTCGAGCTGGCGCGTATCGGTTTGAAAAATTGCTGTGAGGGCTGTCTACTGCCTCGTATTGTACTGTTAACAGTCTCTTGATTTTTGAAGAGTTTTGGTATTGTGTACGTACAGCAATGAACGGAATTAGGTTTGATATACATGAAGCTGAATGGTGTCGAAAAATATTTCACAAAATGTAAGTTCAACAGTTAGTGTTGTAACTGAAATAAAAGATCATTTGTTAATTGTTTGCGTGGATGTGGCATGTCGATACGTAGTTTGGGGTGCTGGAGCATAGCCAACGCGGGCAAGCGACCACTTTTTCGACCGCGACGAGCGTTTATACATTCGACGCCATCTTTACGACTTGGTTTAACTTTTATTTCAACTGTTCTCTCAGTGCGATTTTTATCTAGATGCCTTTTTTTATTACAAGCTTATTCAGATCAGCCGATCATTACTGTAGGCCAAATGCGCTTACCAGATAGTAAATATCTAAAATAAATAACTGCAAAAATGAAGGCTACGTAAATTACTATGAATGCCTTACGAGTTGGGCAGAGTGCCCGTAGGCTGGCCGGCGTCGCGTACATCGTGCGCATTTGGCAAGAATATTGCTGATATTTCTTCGTTTTTGATAGGAACTAAAGCAAAGAGAGCAAATTGTAGGCTGCGGGTGCATACAGCTCAGTTCGGATTATTGGCGCTACGCTCTACGTTGGTTTGACTTTTCTTCTTCTTAGTCTTGACGCCAACGCTAAATGTTGTCCCCTTTTTGCCCTCGATAATTACAGCTTTTACCACAGAATTTGTGTCTTTATATTCTGGTTATATACAACTATGATGAACATTCTATCCCACGTCACATCTCTATCCTAATCTTATTTTATTGAGTACGTTAGCTAATTAAGAAAGAAAGAGGTTCCTCGCTACCTGTAATTGTTACCTATATATTTTGCCAATAACACAACAAGTAATGTGCTTAAAACCATTATAATTATTTGGAAAAGAATAGAAGTCATAAGCTCATGACTGATGTAGAATCAAATTAGGCAACTTTATTAAACCACCAACTTGAGTAAACTTCGAAACTGAATGTTGCAGCTTAGGATAATGGGATGCAATAGAGTAAAACGGCCAAGAAAATGTGGTGAATGACCTCACTTTCGGGATATTTAAGGTATTAAGCGTGTTTCTCAGAATTATCTCCGAGCTTTACCGCCATTTCACCAGAGCCTTTATGGCCTCAGTGCGGCTTCAGGAGGCTTCGCAAGATTGAGTCAGCTGCAATGCGGATGGCCAGAGACGAACGTAAGTATTTACTTGATTTAGATACAACGTTTTTAATAGTGTCGAGTGTTTTATGAGCTTTTAAAACTGTTCACTGTTTCACGTTAGAGTAGTGAAATGAGATCTTTTATTTTTGAATTATTAAAACTTTATTGCTGTGTTGCCCTTTATTGACAATAATTCAAGATTCGTATGTCGTATGATACGGCATGTGACTGTCAAGTTACCAGTTTCTTCATGAAAATATGAAAACGATTTATACGTTCTACAGTCATTTCTATGTAATAACAATCTTGATGTCATACTGAGCTATTGATAATTGCTTGTGGGGTTTAAATTTAATATGTGGTCTAATTTAATAATGAGTAAAAGGGAATTTCTTTCAGATCAGTTTAATTATACAAATGTACATTAAGATTCTATTACAGTAACATGAATCGTAAATTCTATTTTTAAATACCTTGACCTTATGTTGCCATACTATAGTATTAAGACATGATTATAATAAAATCTCTTTCGACTGTACCTATACGACGAAATTTTATAAGCTAATAAGTACACTTAGCAAGGATATGCTATCCTAAGTTTTTGCCCATATATGTACGTGGTACAGTGTATCTACAATGCAGTCCTGCATTGCGACGAGCTTCACCTGGTCTGTCGCTAGGATTTATAGCATTAATTAAGTAAGTGAGGATTTATCACTAGACCGCTCCAGCAATTCGATAAGTTTATAGCCGAAAGCCTCTCGGCCAAAACCGTCCCATTTAAGACTCATGTTCACATACACGCCTTTATTGTAAAACTTTATGTTATTTAGTGTTGGTTACTTCGGTCTAGCGGTTTCTAGGGAACACTTAGATATACTTATGTAAGTTGAACTTTAAGTTTACTGTTAGGTATATTGTAAGTTAGGTGTATATTCTATACATAACTAATACGTTTTCTTGAATTTGGGGCTTTGTGGTTTAACTCAGGCTACCTTTATGCAATACATCATTTGTACCATTTATAGGTATATCTTAGTTACTTAAAACAATAATATCTACTTGGTAAGGTATGTCTTTAGAAACAGAAATTAAATGTTATTGTTGATAATGATAAACACAACAGTAGAAAAATTTGATTCAATATTCAATAATCAACTATAACATGATATAATATGTAAATAAATAAATATATATATATATATATATATATATATATATATATATATATATATATATATATATATATATATCCACAGATCATCACGTATTAAAAGTAATAAAAAGGGAGTACCTATTCATTCAAAGAAGTACTTTTAACATTGGTTACTTCTTCATCTTCTATCGGGAGGAAACGCAAAAAGAAATTTACTTGAAGTAACAAATGTAATTAGAATGTGTATTTATGTTTAAATATAAAAGTAAAGTAATGTTCAAATCAAAGTTATAGTTGTGTCGGTACATTTTTAAGGAATTCAATTGAAAATCCGCTTGTGGTTCTAACATTGGCGTGTCGTCATCTATCTTAGGATAATACAGTGCACATGTTTGTCAATATTACTTTTGTTGTATCATCCTACAATCGTATTACATAGTAGTAGTGTGTCAAGGTCATGCTCGTCCTGGCTTCGCGCCAGGATCTGATTCAATTTGCACTCCCTACATTTTGCTGGTATTTTTTATTACCCCGTAAAAGCCATTAAAGCTTGTTCTGTTAATGTGTTTCATTTTAACGCCATGATTTTATTGTGTAAAAATTGACTTACTAGCTCATATGTGAGTTTTTAATGTGTTTTGTTAGAACTTAATTTAACTCGCTAAACATTAATTGTCTTTTCGTTAATGAAGATATTTATTGCTTTATTTGTTTACATTTTCGACCATCTTGTTATTTAAATTTATAATATGTGTATTTTTTTACTCAATCTACCTACTTTGATAATAGATGCATGGCATTTTTATAACAATGAATTTAACTTTACATATTATGCAATGTATTTAGATAGGTATATTTATTAATCTACTACTAAATGGTTTTTTAATAAAAAATGCTGAAAAAACTAAGAAAGACTTTCATGTGCTTAGGTATGTGTGGCGATTTCTATTAAATAACTTCGCAGACGTTTTAATATCTTTAACTAGATGTATATTAGTAGAACAGTATCGTAAAAAGTGGTAAAATATAATAACTTAAAACTCGCTAAACATTAATTGTCTTTTCGTTAATGAAGATATTTATTGCTTTATTTGTTTACATTTTCGACCATCTTGTTATTTAAATTTATAATATGTGTATTTTTTTACTCAATCTACCTACTTTGATAATAGATGCATGGCATTTTTATAACAATGAATTTAACTTTACATATTATGCAATGTATTTAGATAGGTATATTTATTAATCTACTACTAAATGGTTTTTTAATAAAAAATGCTGAAAAAACTAAGAAAGACTTTCATGTGCTTAGGTATGTGTGGCGATATCTATTAAATAACTTCGCAGACGTTTTAATATCTTTAACTAGATGTATATTAGTAGAACAGTATCGTAAAAAGTGGTAAAATATAATTACTTAAAACTTAGTTGTTGTTGCGTCGGATGAGATGACAAGATCGCAATAGTCAGGACATGGTAAAATGAACTGGCACGTAAATGGACTGGGGATGTACAAT